ACCGCATCATTTAGAGTGTTTCATATTCAGAATGTGACAATAGAGCCCCAACAGAACCAGACAGATTGGACCAAGAGCCTCTCTGAAACTCACCTGCCCTTTCGAGCAAATTCTATGGACTTGATGGCGGTGGTGTTACTGGTGCCGGTCGTAACTCTGAAGGACGCCACCAGCTCCTGAGTGTTGGTGTTTAACACCAGAATCTGTAACAAGACAGATCATGGTGACATCTCAGACTGACCCTCCGTCCGTCCAGACCCAACTCTTTAGGAATCCAACCCAACCGTTTATCCACCGAACCCTTAACTGACCAGTTCACCAACTCAACCCTTTATCCACCCAGTTTACCCTCTAGACTTCATACCCACCCAACCCAACACTTTACCAACCTTTCCTTTGGCATTGCCGGTGTAAATATATTCCCCCCGCCGGTCAAACGCCGCCACCACATTTAAGTCAGAGTCGTCATCCACAGGCAGGACCACGTGCTTCGAGTCTGATAACGTCAGCAGCACCGGAGCTGATTTCATGGGACAAACCAGCACCTTGTCTCTGAAACACACACAGCATTTGGTCAGAACCATGACAATTCAGTCCTGCTGGATAGAGACAGACGATGAGACAGACGCTCACATGTCTCTAGGATGGTATTGCAGCTTGAGGATGGGGGACGGGAAGCGGAACCTCTGGTCACAGTCTCCAGTCAGAACGTCCCACTGAGAGACGATGTTGTCCGTCGAGGCGCTCACCAGCTTGTGTCCGTCTCGACTCCAACTGGACCCAACAAAAATATAACATTCACAGGAGACTTCAGCACAAAATCTGTCTTCATGAGACGCAGCAGAGCCTGTCTCCATTTCCATAGATCAGACCAGATTTACTCCGTATTGTCATACAACGTTTTCATTGTGACAGAAACCTGCAGCCTGAACGGCCGTGCCTCACCACAGGGAGCAGACGGGATGAATGTGTGCGCTGATGATCTTAGCGATTCCCCGAGTGAGGAAGTCCCAGATCACAATGCGGCCGTCGTTGCAGCCCACGGCCAGCAGGGTGCCCCAGCGGTTGAAGGTGCAGGTGAGCGCCATGCTGATGCAGTCCAGGGTGCCATCTGCCTCCTGAACACAGAAATCTGAAGTTATCACAGCCAACAACTCTCTACTAACCAACTACAGGAGACAAATATTAACCAAGATGATTCCTAACACCTCATTAAGCTGAGGGAGGATTAAAACATGGTGGCTTACCTCTGGGTAGTTCTGCCCGAATGATTCTACAGAAATAAAAGTAAAAAACAGGCTAAATGTTAAAGTCATCAAAACAGCAACATATACAAAAACGGTATGAGGAGAACTGAGACACGTCACAAATTGAAACATTCAATGGAAAAGATCATGGAAAAAGAAGGAATGAAAGTTTTAAACAGCTCTCTTTTATCAAACTTTTATCAGAGCATTTCAGTGATGCTTTAACATATAAGAAATAAAATTTTTACTGGTTCTGTGTGAAATTACGCAGCAAAGGTTCCCAAACATCGTCCCAAATATTCTGTTCATTATTTTGAGCTGTAGAAACTTTGTAGATTCTACAGCTCTAATTTCATATACAAGATTTAGTCACATGTGAGCAAAAACTACAATATCACCATGACATTGGCTGGCCTAGCTTGACAGGAATCTGGAAACTGAACTGGCAAACTGTTAAGTTACAACCTTCTACAGACCACTACATCTCTGTTTTCCAAACTTTACGATGATGGTTAACTTATAAAATTTAGACAACAATTAGTTATGAACTACAGAATATACATAAACGTTGTAACACTGATGGAATATTTTTTATTGTAAAGGTATTTTATTGCTGCCTGAGTCCTGACCAACACATAGAAGATGGATCATATTTCAGCATAAACTCTCCAGTTATAGAAAAAATGAAGTTATAAGCAGAGCTGCATAGAGCAGTCAAAACTGGGCTACAATATGAATACCACTACTTCATTGTTTTTATACTCCAGTTAAAGTAGAGAAGTATTTGACAAAATGGCTATTATCTACTGAGTAACTGATTGTGACGTTCGATTTAATATTTTACCAGAAAGACACAAATACAAAGTTTTATGTCTTTGTATTTACTGGTTTTACTGGTTATTGGTATCTTTGTCTCATGTATGTGAGACAAAGATAAAATAAACATAGAAATAACCCAATTGTAAAATAAGTATACAAAGATTTTACTCAAGAGTACCTTAGAATAATATAATAATTTTAAAAAGTACAGTGAAGTAAAACGCCTCCTAAACTAAATATAGTTACTTCTGCTTGTTGGTCTATTCAATCGTTGTTTGTTTAATTTTACAATTTCTATTCCGCGTTATTTTCAGTAAATCTATTTTTGTTTAATACTAGTTCATATCTCCCTTACCTTTGCCTCATCTCATAATAAATAAGGTATTTTTGCTCAATTTACTTCAGTGTTTCCACTGAAATAAATTGTGGAAACACTTCAAACCCGCCCTACATAACCAAACGTTAAAGCTGTAACTAGTTTTATTACTTTACATCAGCTGGCAGCCTATAGCCTCACTATTTCCAGGCGTTATTAGATTTAATATAACCGAAAAATGTATGGATGCTAAATGTAGCTATCTGATAGTTTTTGCTTGTATTAAAATTAAAAAACATTAAAAATTAAAAAACATTCATTTGTAAATATTCTAATTTATCCGTTCAGTGAAGGCAGTTAAACGTAAGTTAACAACTTTAATAGTTTTCATTTGTACAGAGACCAGAATCTTAGCTGTTAGCATCTTCGGCTAACAGAGGAAGGCAACCACAACAAGACCGGAGCGCTGCAGAAAAACTGGGCCGCTGAAATAAAAAGATGCTTCTTCATATATTTACCGAGCAGCTCGAGATTCATCTCTGGTTGTCCAAGGATCCAAAGTCCACTAAAGCCCGATTTCACGGAATATTTTTGTCAATTCTATTTGTTTCTGTTATCATCTGTTGCCCTGAGAGCGGCGCCACTGAGGACCCCAAACAGAGCGACCAAAAAGGCGCCTGAACTAAAAGATAGCTGCCTGCATGATTCTGATTCAAAAATAGTTTGGGCTAAATTGTTAAAAATGTAACGGATGCATCACATAGTTTAACGCACCCGTCATATCTAAAATAAAATGACAAAAAATAGATAAATAAATTGTCAGAATTAAATTTAATTAAATTAATAATTAATTTAATTATTTAATTAAATGAATAAATTTAACTGTTTAATTAAATTAATAAACAATTAAATGAATTGTTTAATTAAATGAATAAACAAATAAATCCATACATCCATTTTCATACACCCTGGTACATCCATCTTCCTTCCTCTCTCCTTTTTAGCTCTTCTGGGATCTGAGGTCAGAGTTCAGGTAAAATTTTAGCTTTTCAAATGCTAATCACCTGATTCCAGTTGTAAAAACAATACCTTGTTGCCATAGTTACACATTGTAACAACTGTACCATAGTAAGACATTCAGATCAAACATTTTTCCAAATGGCCAACTTCCAGAACTAGAGACAACAATATTCCAAACAACACAAAAAATTATGAACCAAAGTCTAGAGAGAGAAGAAATCAGAGCTAACGGTATTGTTGGTACTCCAGTCCATCGTTCTGCAGAGAGGAAAACATCTAATGGGCTGTCAAAGAGTGGATGTCCAGCAGATGAGTGTGAACACCAGAGAAACAACCAGAAGTCCCAGAGGTCCACCTCAAACTCTACAAGCCTCCATTAGCAGGCCAAAGGTTAAAGGTTATGACAAGGAACCAGGTGTGCTCTTTGAAATGGTTGAAGGAGAAAGCCTCTTCTTTCCAGAACCAAGATGGCCACCGGACTGAGGTTAGCAGAGCCACATCTGGATGATGGACAAGACTTCTGGAACAATCAATATCCTCTGGACAGAAGAGACCAGATTGGACCAGGATGGACAGAACCATGATGGAGGAGATTGGACAGCAGATCAGCAGGCACGCCTCACACCAACTTTAAAGCATGGTGGTGGATGAGTGATGATTTGGGCTGCAGGACCGAGTGTGTGACAGTTGATGCTTCATCCAAAACTGGGTCATCAACAGGAGGATGGTCCAAACACAGCAGGTAATCAGAACCATTCTGAGTTGCTTGTGGTAACACCTGGATCCCAGGAGGGGTTCTGATTGGCTCAGTCGTCCAGGTAATGGCACAATGTGACGTCTGCTGCCAACATCAACCTTCCCTTGACCCTTAACTTTTCCTCCATTCGCTTCAACTTTATGGTTTTATTGCTGCCTATATTTTCACCAGATTTGAGTTGAAGTGCATGTGTTGTGTTGAACTTACAGAAAATACTTGAAACTTAAACTTATGAGACTTCAGAAAACAGGAGGCAGTAAAAACAGCTGCTGATGCAGGATCCGGGGAAGGATCCGGAGCCGGAGCGTCAACATCCACGTCACCCCGCTTCCTGTTTTCACAATAAATCTCCAAAAAAGATTCATATGAAAACTGAATACATATGAAGCTGCTGTCATAGAAAAACTGTTGCAGTTAAATACACAATTGAAAACAATTGTATATTATTGATTTATTAGGTGGATTAGGTAAAGTTTCTGAAGATTCAACATTTTAATTTTAATGAGTAGAAAAGAAATCACACATGCTATCATAAAAAAAATCAAACAGAATGTTTTTACAGTTTGGGGCTTTTCTTATTTAATACTTAATGTGAAATTGTGTTTTTTGGACTTTAGAGGCGCATTTTGAATGGAAACACAGCAAACAATTTAATTAGAAGGAAACAACTGAAACGCAAACATTTTTTATTTTTATTGTGTTTTTTATGCTATTTTATAAGGTCTGAAATTGGTGTTTGAGGTTTTATATCCACCCATCCATCAACAAAGTGAGGAGTTTTACTTTGGAGGTCTTCACCGGAAGTGGGCTGCGTCGCTACGTGTACTTTGACAGCGGGGTGTCTGCGTGTCCATGAGTGCGTGTGCTTGGTGAAGGCGCCACGTCGGCAGAAGCAGCAGAGAGAAGAGCAGCAGCAGCGGCTCTGCAGAAACTCTGGAGAAGTTGGTTGTTTGGAGGATTGACGGACTGACGGACCGGCAGCTGCAGGGTTCAGGTTCCCCCTCCAAAACCCAGACCGCGGCCCACTTCTCAATCTGCTGCTGGCTCAGGTGTTCCAGCCAGAAGCACTGGGAACAATGGTGAAGGTAAGAACGCTCCAGCATCCCCATTAAAGCGCAGCTTGCTCCAAGTTGCGCTGATGAGGTCGGAGTGATGATGTGGATCAGGAAAACAGTTCGAGCTTGTTTTCACATTTAAAAGCCCTGGAGCAGAAACTGCAGCTGGTCCAACTCACTGAGACACCAGGTTGTTGTTTTTTCTTCTGACTGCCTGGATAGAGGATAAAAACCTGCAGCTGTGGGTCACAAGGAAAACAGACGGGAAGAAAATATGTTTTCAGGACAAATCTCCTGAAAAAGCTCAGATCAGAATGAGATGTGAAGCTCAGAGCTTCATGTTGTGTCACTGAAATGTGAAGAAGTTAACATCATGGTGTCACATCTCCATCAAGATGGAGCATTCAGGGAACAGCAGGAGCCAAAACTAGTCTAAAATATGCAGATTGTTTTACAAACTGTGATTAAAAGCCACCCTTCCATAGTGAGAGTGAGCTGAGAACATGTTAGAAAATTACATGTTTAAACACGACTCTGAGTTTCAACAGTGATCTCTGTGTCTGGTTTTCCTTTCCTTTTGGAGGAATGATCAGACACCAGGAGGCCGCAGCCTTTCCCAACACTCCCGAGACTTTTTTCCAAGATTCAGAGTTTCATAACAAGCCAGCTTGCTGTCTGGTTTGCATTTGGCACGAAGAAAACAGTTCAGCAGCAAGCTAATAGTCAGAAAGGCTGGATTGGGTTTGGTTTGGTTAGGAGACTCGGGGAAAGCTGAGCCTTCATCAGTTGGGCTGTTGGACCCAACCTGGTTCATGTTAGGAAAAGTGGAACCAGAACATCACAAAGCCGCAGTTTGACATCAGATCGGAGCACGTAAAGCTATCCGATGCAGTTTTTCAGATCAATCTATCGATCATTATTGATTAGTTTTTTGTTTCAGGTATCTGAAATACTGCCAGGCTGGTGGCATGACCTTTCCTGTTTCATCCAAAGTTTTCACTCCACATCATTGTTTTTTTATTATTATTATTTTTAGTAGTTTTTGGGCACAGTAGCAAAACTTTAAACTGCTGTTGTGCAAGTTACCTAACAGGTTATTGTTAGGTAACCAAAGAGTGAGTGAGTTGATGCCACCCATCTTTAGAATTGTCAAAAATAATCAATAAATTAATTAATTTCATGGTAACATTTTAAAATATCATTCTCTCTTTTTACCAAAACTGGATGACAAAAAGTCTTCAGTCTTTGGTCTCAACTTGCCCTTATTTTGAAGGACAGTTTTGTTTACTGAGACTTCATAATTCACTTTGTTTGTTGTGTATGTTGTTTTGTTTATTAATTTTGGATATTTAAAATGTCGTCCAGTTGCAGTCTTAAATGTTCATTACAAATGAAAGCTTACTGATCTCTGGGAATGTTTTCTTAGAGTATTATGCCGTCATCAATATATAACATGAAAATAGTCAGTAAGCAACAATATTATCATTTATCACAATAACTTCTGGAACAATTTATTGTCCAGCAATATTTGTTATGTCAGGCCTGCCAACACAGCTTAGATCGCCGTCAGAGGTTGAGAAGCTAAAGCCTTTCCTCTGCCTACATCTCCCAGAATGCTGAACATATCCGGTCCAGTTGGTTCGGTACCAGACGGATCCAGCTGTGTTTACCTCCTGAACCCAATGCAGAATGTTTAAATGAGGAACTAAAGTGTTTACTGCAACGTTTTGTAGGGAAACTTTAGAACAGGGGTGTCAACATCCAGTCCTCGAGGGCCGGTGTCCTGCAATTTTTAGATGTGCCTCTGCTGCACCACACCTGAATAGAATAATTAGGTGATTAGCAAGGCTCTGGAGAACTGATCTACACAAGGAGGAGGTAATTAAGCCATTTCGTTCCTGTGTTTTGTACCTGAGCACATTGAAAAACTGCAGGACAGTGGCCCTCGAGGACTGGAGTTTGTCACCCCTGCTTTAGAAAGTGACACCAGACACAACCAGAGAAGTCTCCCAGCTGTGCCTGTGCTGCGGACAGAAAGATGGACCAAACCAAAACTCTGTAACAGCGTAAGCTGCAAAGCTGCTCTGCGTTGAGCTGATTGACCCAAAACAATGTAAACATTTCTGGTTCTAGAGCAAAATCAGCTGAAGTCCAAATGCAGTGTTCAACAGGTCCAAAACTCTGCACAGCTGATGAGATCATTCGTTCCTGCAATTATTGAAGTAACTGATTATCAATCAGCTAAAAAAAAACTCAGATTTTTGATTTAACCACTTGAGCTTATTTCTTTTTTTACATATTATAAACATATTAAAAGATGCAAATAAATAATTCAGTTCATTTTTTAAATAATAAAATAAAAATTTTCAGCTTTCCTTCAATTTATGTGATTTAGTCTTCATAATAAAAATCAGGAGTGGAGCAGGTAGCTTTAATGTATAATTAGTGCTTAGAGTCCGTTTTGTTGTAATTCCTGGTGACTGTTCAGGGTTTTTCTCCAGGACGTGAACAGCGTGAACGTGGAGCCGCAGCCCGGGACCAGCCTGGCCTCGGACGAAGCTGAGCCCGCCGACAGCCAGGCCCCAGAGGGTAAGCGCTGAGCTGAGGGACGTGTCTAATCGCTGGAAAATCAGTGGGGAACATGGTGCAATCTACGCTCGGATGTTGCTGCTGCTACTCCAGAACCAGTTGTTTTGTCAGCAGGATCAGTGTTTGTGTGCAGCTGCAGCTGTCTGTGTCGCAGCACCATGTGCACCAATTCAGACCCCTTTTGGTCACCCTGGTAACCCAGCCTCCTGAGGGTCTCCAGAGTGACTTTAAATGACTCTAGTGCCTCTCCGGGAGGCAAATCAAATTAAATCAAATCTGAGATGTTTGCACATAGTTCTCATGCGACATCATACTTCCGGAAACTTTGTAACTGACAGCCATCTTGGAAGGCAGTTCTTGTGGAGTTGCTATGACAATAATAAGAACCAGCTTAGAACTTGCTCTTGCCTTGTTCCTATCTAACTTACTATCAGTATAAGGACATTACAACTATTACTCAATTTCAAGTTTTGAGTACTCCACTCACCTCTGTGTGAAATTAAGATAAATGTCAATGATAATTACTGCAATACTTATTGGTGAACTAACATGTGACAGGTACTTAGTCTGCCAGTCACCAGAAATTTGTTATTCACATGAAGAGTTTGTACGTCTTTTACAAATCCGTTCAAACATTGATTGTATGTGATTGTTGATTTCAGGCTGCAAAGCTCCGCCATGGTGGACTATGCCTGTTCCCTAAGTAGTGAACTATGTCATAGAATGAGATCGGAGGTATCTTGTCCACATCGTCTGACATATTTTCCTTCTCTGTCTCATATGGGTCAAACCCAACAGCAGCCATTGTGTTCATTTATTTTTACTTTGTGTCCATATATTTTCTTTTTGTTGGTTCATCAGTGCTTTGATGCCTTGCAAGATGGCACGGATCACTTCCAGTTCAAACTTATGTGTTATTATCAAGTGGAATTAAAAGTTCTTCCTTCAGGTTGATATGAAAGATCCAATAAATCCAAACTCTGTTTGATCTGTGTTCCAGATCCAGGTAAAGATCATGCTGTCGCTCCGCCCGGCATGGTGTGGAGGGTCACCGGCGGCCTCTTCAATGTCACCAAGGGCGTAGTCGGCGCCGCAGTGGGCGGAGTTGCCTGGGTGGGCGGGAAGAGCCTGGAGATCACCAAGTCGGCGGTGACAACGGTGCCGTCGGTGGGGGTGGGGCTGGTGAAGGGCGGCGTCTCCGCCTTGGCTGGCGGCGTCTCCAGCGTGGGCTCTACAGTCGCCAACAAAGTGCCATTCACCGCCAAGAGGAAGGACAAGGCAGAGTGAGGTGGCGGTGATGATGATGATGACGACTGACGGATTGCCCCGCCCTGAGCCAACCGAGACAGGATGATCTCGACCAATCAGATGCCACCGTGCCTTCCCCTGAACGCCTCATCACAGCAACTTCAGACTGTAAAATAAAGACTGTGCAGCTCTACTTCACCAACCCAAACATGTTCTGCTCCATGTTGGTGACGACACCCCGATGACCCTTCTACCAGTTTATGGACCAGTCTGAGGCCACGCCCTCTTCCTGCTCTTCAACCACAGACTTCTGCTGAAACCTTTCTGTCTTCAGATGCTGATTTTTGTGCTTTTTGTCTCTTTTGAAGTATTACTGCAACCTCTCTGTCAGTAAAGTGTGTGTTGAGGGATCAGACTGTTTCTTCTGAGGAGCCCTCCTTCACTCTGCATGCAGGAACATCTCTGAAATATCTAAAGAGTGACGCCACTCTGCAGCCTCTTTATGGTGAAACTTGTTGGACAGAGTCTGACGTTACTCAGAAAAGGTGAACTGTTCCTTTAATCAGATGTTTACTCTGCTGCAGGAATCAATCATTAGCATTTCAATGCAGCTGTTGTTGAGGATATGAAAGATGTTTATGTATTTTTTTTTCAGTTTATCAATAAAATAGTTTAGAAGGTTAAAAAAACAGGTCTTTTTCTCAGTTTCTACCTATTATCCTAAATGAACTTTTTGCATGTTTTTGTCCTTCTAATTGCTGGTAGCAGTCCAAGTGCTAAAGAAACAACGTCCAAATGTTTTGTGGAAGTAAGTTTATGTTCTGGTGTCTGGAAAACAAGCGGCTTCAAAAACCTCCCAAACATCAAGTCACAATCGGCGGACGCTGCCTTGTCACCCAGCAAGTGGAGCTTGTCAGCTGATTTTATGCGATTTTCAATGCCTGCTGGAGAAAAGCAGCCATTGCACAATTTGCATAAAACCTCAAATTGCACAGCAGCAATTTGAGGTTTTGCCAGTGTGCCTTAGATTTGCTTAAAAAAACATGGAGTGAAAATTTTGGATAAAATGCTGGTGATCACACCACCAGCATCACAGTGTAAATATTTAAAACACACACACACAAAAATGTATATCTATGAAAAGCTTATTTTGTGATAAGTTTTTCAGCCAACGTCCAGCCCTGGTTTCACGTGCGGTAAGTAAACAATGAGTTGGGGGCGTGGCCAGCAGCAGCTTATTTGCATAAAAGTGACAGAAACCCTAAAACAGTTATTCTGAAAGGAACTCAAAATGGACAGAGGTGAATTTTGATTATTGGAGAATGATTCCATGCCGCAAAACATATAACAAACATGTTTTGCACAGCTGATTATTCCCTAATTTGTTTAAAAGAAAACATCATTGGTCCCCTTTTAAGACGGATTTGTTCAGAGAAAAAGTTTTCATTTGGAGGCTGAAAAATGGCAGATTAAGGAACCAGCGTAGACAGTCAGGTGTCTGGTGCTTGCTATAGTAAATGTTACTGAAATGTTTAACTTTTTGCATAAAAAGTGAGATTTATTTTCTGAAAAAGAGATCAAACTCACAGTGTGTACATGAAATGACGGTAGAGCTCTAATTGGTAATCTAATAAAACCGGCAGAGGGAACACGGAAGTGACTCAAATCATTTTTAAAAATCCGAAATAATCTAATGAGTTTATTATTGTTTCCCCTCTTGTTTTTCTGCCAATTTCTTGTTCATCCTCCAGTCCAGGTGGTGGCAGCATGGTTAGTCGGCCATTTGCCATGTAACGCCAGAAGAAGAAGAACCCGGAAGTGACGCGTTAGTTGTTTCACGCTGCTTCGTCCACATGCGGTTTCTTTCTCATGATATTTAATTCTGGAGGAGTTTTTGTAAAGAAACGCCGAGGCGGGAGAACAGGAGGAATCCTGCTGCGAGTTTAAGGTGAATTTTATCAAAACATTTATTGTAATCTGCATGTCTCGAGCTTTATCAACAAAAACGTAATCAAATATGATCAACTGGGTGACAATCAGCTGTTCCCTGAGACCGAACATCACCTGATGAAGCGGTTATTATCGCAAATTCTAACTAATTATTCTATTATAGAGCTGTGTGTAAATTAAACATGAATATACTTTATTTATTTCCTTTATATTTACCCACAGTTAGAGTAGGAGTGCTTAGCTTCACTCAAGAAAAATCAAGTAAACATCTTTTTTTATTCGAAAGGATTTTCAGAAGTGGATCATAAGATATATTTTCTATGTCTAAGTTTTGATTTAATAGGAAATGATAATAAACTATTCTAATCCTGGATATGTCTTCATTAAAAAGTGCTATTTCTTTAGAAAGTTACCTCCATTTTTAATGCAAATGAAACAAATTAATTTCAAGACTTGTTAAAATCCCAATCATCTTTCCAATATAACAATAATTTCCATTGAATTTGAAAGTTTTCTTGTAATGATTTCTGTATTTTTATACTGTATTGTTTTGTGTTTTTATAGATTGTCTTTCACTTATTTTTTTCTCTTTGGTTAAATTTCTCTGTTTCATTGTGAGTTGTTGTATTGTTCTGCATCTTTAAGTTATATAAAAAGAAAAAAATCTGACTCAGTAATTTAAAATTAGTCTTCTAGAATTTTTAAAGACAATACCGAAAATAAATAATGCTAATAAATACCATAATAAAATAGATTTGGGAAGAAAAAAAACCTGGTAATGCTTTTTTCTTTTTTACCAACATTACCAGAGTAAAGTACTTCCAGGGACAATTTAGAGTTTATACGATATTTTAAATCAGCCAACATACTGATTTAGAGGTTTGGATGTTATTTTCAACAGCAAAGCTGTTGTGGAAACAAGAGGTCTCGCTCCAATATAAAATGTGGATCTGTGTTTCTGGTGCATTTTTGGTTAAAATGTGTTTGTTCTTCATTCAGTGAAGTTACTCTCACAGTTGCAGTAGTTAGTAATTTACTAAGTATTTTGACTTTTAGGAGTCAAATGACTCCTAAAAGTATATATATATATATATATATATATATATATATATATATATATATATATATATATATATATATATATATATATATATATATATATATATATATATTTGAAGTTACGTAGGGTTGACTGTGGTTTCGTCTCTGTCCATCAGACAGTTTGCTGAGAAGATGCTAAGTGATGCGGAGGCTGCAGAGCTGCTGGCCTTCCTGACGCCCAGCACCCGGCCGGATGTGAAGGGGAAGGCCACAGAGTACATCCTGGGGCTGTCTGGAAGCAGGTGGGACGGACACTGACCTCTGAGCATTGGGGTCATTCAGGGTTATAATGGTTTTTGGCTTTTCATTATTCAGTTTTATTTCGTTTTGATTCATTTTTAAAATGTGTTTACTAGTTTTTATTAGTTAAATATTGCTTACTTTTAGTTTAGTTTTTATTAGTTATAGTGATTGTTTTATTTTTTATGCTTTGGTAAAAATTTTAGGTGCAGAATTCAAAAAGGTCAAAAGATTGTGATTATGTCTACATTGATTGGGTGATGAATACACAACAAAAGATACAATTTTCAAAAAATCTATTCAATCATTGTTGAACAACCCCAAATTTTTGCTATCGCCATGAGTTCAAAACGCTAATAAATAGATTCATTCACACAAAAATAAAGGATATTATAGCTATAATTTGAGTATGTTTTATTTAGTTTTATAAATACACAATATATTTCTTGTTATTTATATAAATTACTGTTTTTATTTACTTTAGTTAACAAAAAGGTTTTCTATTTTGTCAGTTTTAGTGAACTATCATAACCTTTGTGGGGCGCTGACCTCTATAGAGGTCAGGGGTCACTATAGATTGATTCAGCGCTGTTTGTTTTTTTCAGAGATGGCTGCCGATTCCTGCGCTCTAAACCCGACCTCTTAGCTCGTCTGTTTGCGCTGACCTCCGACCCCTCTGTTGCCATAGCGAAGGACTGTTACCACATCTTTATCAACCTGTCAGCTGATGAGACTCTGCACCAGGTGAGCAGCAGGTGAAGGACAAAACGAAGCTGAAGTTAGCTAACAATTAATAATAATGTAGTGATGAGATTAATTTAACTAATAATTATAATATTTCAGATTAATTTATGGGACAGAGGTGGAACTCAATAAACACACTTTGTGTTAATTTGCTGCATTAACTAAGAAGTAGTCTGAACCCTGAAGATTAAATAATATTCAGGATATTTAATGGGAGGAGACTTGAACCAGTTCTGACCTCTGACCTCTGAAGGCCTGCTGGTCTCTCTGTTTTCCTCAGGTTCTGGTCTGTGAGGTCCAGGTTCTTCCGGTTCTGTTGAAGAACCTCCAGGATCCAGAGTTTTTGTTCTCTGATCAGATCTGCACCATCCTGTCCAACCTGAGCCGCCATGATAAGACCTGCAGGACCGTCTTCCAGGTAGGCCAGGCCAGTTCCCTGCTGGTTGAGTCTCAGGGTTCAGCTGCAGAAACGTCTGCGCAGACAACGGGCTCTTCTCACCTGTCTGGTGGACGAAGTTTCTCCTCACCTGTGGGGTTAAGGCCTCTGCTGGTTGCTCTCTCAGGTCCTGGAGGAGGAGCTCGGTCTGGCCCAGCTGGTGGAAATCTTCTGCAATGAAAGCTTCAACAAAAAGGCCAAGCTGCACTACCTGGGCCCCCTGCTGTCCAACCTGACCCAGCTTCCCGAGGCCAGGAGCCTCTTGATGGACCGGGACAGGTGAGTTGCAGAGTTAGAAGTCGAATTTTGTGGACCAGAGAACATTTGGCCTCTCATCTGAATATTTATTTTTTAGATACTAGAACTCTCGGATCTTTTCTGCTCCAGGTGTGTGATCCAGCGTTTGCTGCCATTCACTCAGTACGAGGCGTCGGAGGTGAGGAGGGGAGGCGTCATCGGCACGCTGAGGAACTGCTGCTTCGACCATGGTGAGAAACTCCCAACGCCGTCTGGATTAAGTCTGAAGGATGAACCAGAACCAGTTCTGACATCCTTCTGCTGTAATCCGCAGCTCATCATGCGTGGCTGCTGAGCGACGCAGTGGACGTGCTGCCGTTCCTGCTTCTGCCTCTGGCCGGCCCGGAGGAGCTCACTGAGGAGGAGAACGAAGGCAGGTCCAAAAAAAAAAACCTTAAATTAATTAGGATATGATCGAAAAGATCATTTATTTCAGTTGTTCGGTTTGAAAAGTTAAACAGTGAATAGTGAAACATTTCAGCTGATGAGAATCCATGAGAATCCTATGAGTCTTTTCATAGGAAATTAGAAAATGATTTAATTTCCAAGTTATTTGGAAAAAAACATCAAACAAAAGCCGTGTTTCTGTCGATTAAGAGAGGGAATTATTTACAAACTCCTGATTTGATTCCGACTTTTTTGGGGGGACATTTGTAGCAGATAAGAATGTTGATTCTTATGTGAAGCTAAAGGCTACTCCACATTTGGACGCCAACCTTCAAAACCACATCAGACTAATTAAATAAATCCCGGATTGGCCTGTCACAACGACGATAAATTCTCCCAGTAATTATAAATATTAACCATTATATTGTTGTTTTGAGGCCATTTTCAAGCAAAATAACAGGAACGACATAATAATGCAAGAACACTTTCTCACAGATTAAGAAACTTTAAATTCTGCTGAACATTTAACACTGGAACTGGAAGACATTTTAAATATCCAAAATAAATAAACAAAACAGCAGAAACAGATAATAAAATTACTTTTCAAGTCTGAAAACAGAATTGTCCTTCAAAAAATGATTTAGATGAGACCAAATCACCAGACTGAACAGTTTAGTCATCCTGGTTTTGGTAAAAACCAGGATGATAGAAGATAGATAGAAGAATGATAAATTATACAATTTATTAGTTTCAGTTTAATGTTTATTGCAACTCCTGGATCAACTTTACAGTCTCTACATGACGGTGCTTTTTCGTGTTGCCTTCACACTTTTTTCTTCCACTCAGCATTCCATTCACAGCCAGTTTCTCTAGCAATAATCTTTGGGTTGTGTTTGCCACAACAGAGACGTAACATTTCTGTTAGAGGTCAGAGATTAGAGGCCAAATCTAAACATATTTGGCTGCAACTGGTGAAAAATCAAACTGACTGAGCGCCATTAAATGCTCAGGAAATGCCTCATTAGAATAATCTGGACAGATTATAATCCTTAGTTCTGTTGCTCAGGTCTGCCTGTGGACCTGCAGTATCTGCCGGAGGACAAGCAGCGAGAAGCGGACCCCGACATCAGGAAGATGCTGCTGGAAACCCTGCTACTGGTACCACACACACACACACACACACACACACACACAGATCTGGTTTCATTCAGACTTCCTGACGGTCGGCTCCACCCCCAGCTGACGGCGACTAAAACCGGCCGCCTGGCACTCCGACAGAAGAATGTTTATCCCATTGTGAGGGAGCTCCACCGCTGGGAGAAAGACGTTCATGTTGGCGCCGCCTGCGAGAAACTGGTCCAGGTGAGAAACTCTGACCTGCTGGGGTCTGAGCAGCCGCAAGTCTGTAGGAGCTGCTAGTCTATAGGAGCTGCTAGTCTGCAGGAGTTGCTAGTCTATATAAGCTGCTAGTCTGCAGGAGCTGCTAGTCTGTAGGAGCTGTTAGTCTGTAGGAGCTATTAGTCTGTAGGAGCTATTAGTCTGTAGGAGCTATTAGTCTGTAGGAGCTCCTAGTCTGCAGGAGCTGCTAGTCTGTAGGAGCTGCTAGTCTGTAGGAGCTGCTAGTCTGTAGGAGCTGCTAGTCTGCAGGAGCTCCTAGTCTGCAGGAGCTGCTAGTCTGTAGAAGCTGCTAGTCTATATGAGCTGCTAGTCTGTAGGAGCTGCTAGTCTGCAGGAGCTCCTAGTCTGCAGGAGCTGCTAGTCTGCAGGAGCTGCTAGTCTGCAGGAGCTCCTAGTCTGTAGGAGCTGCTAGTCTGTAGGAGCTCCTAGTCGAGTCTTATGTCTCTGTCCTTCCAGGTGCTGATCGGAGACGAGCCACAGCACGGCATGGAGAACCTGATGGAGGTGGACATCCCACAGGACGTGGAGAACAAGCTGAGGGAGGCGGATGCCAAGGAGCAGCAGGAGCTGCAGGAGGAGGAGGAGAGGAGGAGGAGAGAGGAAGAGAAGCAGGAGAAGTGAAACAAAGAACTGATCCGGTCTTCATCTCCTCCTGTTTCCGTCATCAGCAGCTCTTCACTGAACTCTGGCTGCTGGTCCTGATTCCAGTCCAGCTACTGACGTCTCTGTGTCCATGTAGAGACGGAGGGACAAACTGACCTTTGACATTCAGACAAATATAATCCTCATTATTTTCCACATTCTGAAGGCGGCTGCAGTGTGCAGCAGCTCTGGGGTCATCTGGGGTCAGCTGGCAGGTCGCTGTGAGGAGGAGAGACTCGACCTTCTCTGTTCGTCTGAACAGCTTTGAGACACCATCAGAATGATCGATCTAGGACCGGTCACAGGGTTACAGATCTCAGTTATAATTTTTTTTTTCCGCACAGCATCATTATGAAGTTATTTTTCAAGATTTGATTTGAAAAGGTTTTGTTTGGTTTCTGTTTATTCAATTTTATTTTAAAGAAGCTATAAATCCAAATAGGCTGCACAGTGCCGCAGTGGGTAGCGCTGTTGCCTTGCAGCAAGAAGGTCCTGGGTTCGATTCCCGGCCCGGGGTCTTTCTGCATGAAGTTTGCATGTTCTCCCTGTGTGTGCGTGGGTTCTGTCCGGGTTCTCCGGCTTCCTCCCACAGTCCAAAAACATGACTGTCAGGTTAATTGGGCTTTCCAGATTCTCCCTAGGTGTGAGTGTGTGTGTGCATGGTTGTTTATCCTGTTTGTCTCTCTGTGTTGCCCTGCGACAGACTGGCGACCTGTCTAGGGTGAACCCCGCCTCTCGCCCGGAACACAGCTGGAGATAGGCACCAGCACCTCCCGACCCCGTTAGGGAGAAAGGTGCTCAGAAAATGGATGGATGGATAAATCCAAATAAGATGAAGATAAGATAAATCAGGAAGATAAAGATATTTTTTCCACGAGTTTAGAATGAAGTTATCAACTTTAGGGAACTGAATATATCATAAAAATTATGAAAAACATTTTGAAAATCTAAACATTATATGTATGATATATTTTATCTAAACGTTCAGACAGTTTGTAGCTTTTGGGTCATATTTCAATTCCTTTCAATTGTGGTTCGTTTGGTTCTGCTGCCAGCTGCGTTTCACACCCAGACCGACCAGAAGAGGGCGCCACGCATTTCTCTCCAACTCATCTCCCATCGTGCGGAAATTCATCTCTTAAGTTGAAAACAAACAGAAAAATGTTTTTACTTGGAAACTGACGCAAAGGATTTAAATTGAACCGCATCGCAGTTCGGATCCGAATCTTTTTCTAAGTCCTCCACAACAGCACACACACATTTTCTTTTAGGTTTTTTAAAGCAGATTTTTTTTTGTCAATTTTCATATTTAAGTTTTTTAATTAAGCAAAGCATTTTAACGTTCAGATGACAAGAGTTCACTGTTGCAGTTCTCCCAGCTCAATAAACCAAAGTAGAAGCCAGTTTGTCCAGTTTTAGAGAAAGTTGAGGCTCTTGGACGGTAAATAAACTAAAGTGAAGAAGTGAAAGCTGAATGAGTTCAGTAATAAATCAGATGGAGCAGTTTGGTTTTTTCTCTGAGGGGAGTCTTGAAGGAAGTGACAGGAGCTCCTTAAATAGCTTAGGGTCAAAATAATCTAATTAGTTTTTGAATTGAAGATTATTTCCCCACATTGTCTCTAATCCTCAGCAGTGAAATTTCAATTGGGAGTGGGTGGGATCTCGGTGGCGGGGCTGTGTGAGCCAGCCAATCAGAGGCCTCCTTTCTGCTGCGTGCCTTACGTGCCAGACGTGTCTTCCTGGCCTTCCGGGAGCATCAGGACCCCCTGCAGTAAAAAGATTGGCGGTTCTGGTTCTGGGTTTGGGGATTTCCTGGACAACATCTTGATACTAGAAATCCTTCAACGTTGAAGGTAGTAAAGCAACATGTCCTCTGATTGTTGGTCCTTACTTTATACTCTGCCACTGCTCTGAGCAACAAAACAAAGGTCAAAGATCAAACTCAAGCTTGGATTTGAACACAAAGAATAACTTCAGATGTCAAGAAAAGTAAAATGACTATTGTTTAGAGTTTGTTAAGATAATACATTTATTTATGAACAGCACCGGAAATAAAACTCTGCTTTTCTACTTCTTTATACAACAATAGTTTCATCATCTGGACATAGTTTGAGCTGAATACTAACGTTTTTAACAGCCTTCAGCCAGCAGGAGGAGCTGTTTCCTTCAGCAGCTAAAAGAAGTCACATTCACATGCCAGGATGTATTTAGCAAATAGATAAAATAACAGCCAACCAATCAGCTCACAGGGTTCTTACTGTTACGTGATGCGACTCAGAGATGGACTGTGCCTCGTCCTGTCATACTGACATGAATCTGAGTCAATGATTCAATCCATTTCCAACATGTTTGTGCTGGTTTGACTTCTGCTTTACTTACAGAAATAAAGACTGTAACATCTGAATCAATAGACAGAGCAGTGAAGATGTGTTTTATGACTAGCTGTGGTGTCCTGGGAAGCTTTAGTCTAGGTATGACTTACTGGGAACCCTTTAAGCCAATTGCGGTGTTCTGGGCTGCTTTAGGTTAGCTGTGGAGACTAGGGAAACCTTAATGCTAATTATTGTGTTCTGAGAAGCTTCAGGGTACTCAGGGAGTCCTGGTGAGTGTTAGGCTACCCCCTTTGACCTGTGAAGCTGTGGGATAGTTGTGGTGTCCTGTAAACTTTAGACTAACCTCTGTGCCCTGGTGAGCTTTAGGCTAACTGCTGTGTCCTGGTGAGCTTTAGGCTAACTGGTAGGTTTTGGTGAGCTTTAGGATAGCTCCGGTGTCGTGGGAAGTGCCTGAATTAATGAGACAGAACTGTGAAAACTTGCTTTCGGATGTGGTGTCCTGCGACGTGCCTGGAGGCCTGTTCTGGGCCTGATCTGGCCTGAAGAGGATTGTCAGCTCCGTGAAACTTTCAGCAGCCTGCTGAAGAGCAGCTTTGAGCTCATGCTACCAGAATAACAACAGAGCCCCTCCTCCACTAGCTGCTCCATGGGAGTGCCTACCTCTCTGAGGTCCTGTTTACAGAGACCAGAGGGTGTCAGGAGGTCTGATTCAGAGCCCACAACTCCACAGGAACAGTTAGTGATATTACTGACACCAGTGGAGTCAAACTAAATGTGTTCAGTCATATGTCGCATGCTAACAGCTGCTATTTAAACCAGACTCTTTGTGTTTTGGTTGACACTTGGTTTTACATTTAGATTATTCTGGGTTGTTTTGTTCTAATCCTTGTGTTGGTGCAGTAGCAAAAAACCACCATGGGTGGCCCTTATTCTGTAAGGTGACATCATCGAGCTCAACAAAAATGGACAACAACAAACTGGAAAAACTGATCCCATGGTGGAAACAACATTAAAGCATCGTCCCATCCTCACTGGTGGTAGTGTCATAATTTGGAAACATTTTTCTGCTTTGGGACTCTCAGATTTTATATAATAGAAGAAATGTTACTGAGACATTATTTAAAGGGGCAGTCTTGTGTGAAATTGACTTTTTTTTTAGCTTAACATTATATTATGATGTTATTACCTCATCAAAAACATGTGTTGCTTTGATTATGTCATGCATGTGAGAGAAATCCTTTAATCTCCATAGCAAGCATTCTGTTTTCCAAATCGCCTTGGTGGCCCTAGCAAGCCACAGCTCCTCCCCCACTCAGTTCCTTCAGACTAGCCAGCAGTATTTAGCGAACACCTGGTGCAACATCTACTGTTAAATGGTTAATAGAGTAGCCATGTTATGAGGGCTTCCTAAAAAGTGGAGTATCAGAAAGAGCAGGAGTTTTTAAAGAGACAGAGGCCCAATTTCAATGTGTCAAATTACAAAGCAAAATTTCTTTTAAGTCACACTAAATATGAACAGAAGTTAGCCTAGTTACTTAATTATGCTATAAAATGGTGCTATGTGGCTGGAAAACACATAATACTGACCCTTTAAGAAGAATCTGAAGATGAAAGGGGGTTATGAGATTATCTGATCAAAAACAACAAAACTTTGTTTTAAAGAAAGTAAACTAGCTGCTTGATGGTCCATTCAATTGCCACACTTAAATCCAATCAATAACTGAAGATCAATGTGCCCAGAGAAGCACCCAGGAACCTTATCGACTTGAGGAATGTATGTGGCCAAAATCTGATATTGTTTCTGTAGTCGTTATCATTACCTAAATTAGCTTTTCTGCTCAGTATCAGATAAATTATGTTCAAAAATAATTCCTCTTCAGATATAACATGTTTCATGAGTATAAACGAAGAAAACATAGGGGACCAAAATGAAAAGTTAAAGAGTAGGGATGTTCAGTCAGGAAAACAAAGCAAATGAGCTGAACAGGTTTTTCACACATTTTTCACACATTCCTGTTTTATTGCCCAACCACCTCAGTGCAACTTCTTCCTGACCTCCTGACCCTGACGTCTTCACACATATGCAGTGACCCAGGGTCACATCTCCAAACTTCCTATTTCCAGGAAACAGAGAAACCATTCAGCAGCTAATTGGACATTAGCTGAAAGTTAGCTAATAGAAAATTAGCTACCAAATGTGCTAATGTGCTAACAAACTACCATTACAGAAGAACCATTTATCTACCATCATCAGTGGCTATGCCAACTAGCCTTAGCATTCATGCATCTTCTCCCTGCTGCAGGGAGAAGAAGCATGGGAATGATTAACAGCGCTAAGTCCCGCCTCCTGCTCCTGATTGGTTGTTTCTAGTTAGCGTTGGGAGAAGGCAGAGAAGTTTATATTTTTCCCAGATTATCTGTCTTAGAACAAACTTTCTCAACAAATATGTAAAAAATATATTTTTATAAAAGTTACATGCTGCAGCTCTAATGTTAAATTCTTCAGACAATAAAATGGGTTGGATAAGGAAACACAAGCTGGAAGCCGCATGTTGGATGGAATCTGTGATAATGAGTAATAAATCTTATTACAAATAGGAGCAGATCTGGAGAGTTACTGTTGATTTGTTTTGGTTCTGCTGTGTTTTTCTGCGTTCTGATTGGCCGGGCTCTGCAACCAAAGGGAAGTTTATACTAGTGGAACAAACGGCTGTACTTTTCCACTCCAAAATTTGGCATCTGACTCTGTCCACTCCTCTTTCTCCCTTTCAGCTTCATGTATTCATAACACTCTTAAGCACACACACACCTCCCATTCACACATACACTGAGGTAATGGAGGTTTCTCCCAGGGTTTCTAGTTTTAGTGCAGAGCTACAATAACTACCTCTCACCATCTGATTGGTTCAAGGTTCTGCATAAAAAATAAAGGAATAGTTGTTTTCCATTTGGGCTGTGATTCACTTCAGATGTTCTGAAATGTGATCATTAGTCCTTCGGTTCCCTTGGTCGAGGTTCCCTTGTCACAATCGGTGTTTCCAGATACACACTTTTTTATGGTGTTGTTTCAACTGGTAGATCCTAAAACTGGGCTGAATTTAGGAATATCTGGTCAAATGATCAACAACAAACTGTTGATCCAGTTGGGTTAAGACTAAATTCATGTAATCACAGATTTACATGAAAAATATTAATATCTGCTACACTGGACCAACAAAATCTTTACTGAACTTAGTGCAGCCCACTTCATGCCAACTCAGCCAAGTGAGGTGGATGTTTATTTAGTTGTGCTAAAAATACAGATTTAGTGATAAAAACAAAATACAGATTTTTCTGATTTTTAGGTCTGCTTTTAATATGTAACATTTATTATATATATATATATATATATATATATATATATATATATATATATATATATATATATATATATATATATATATATATATATATATATATATATATATATATATATATATATATATATATATATACATATTTGTTGAAACTGTCACTGTGTCAGGACTGTTTTGCTATAAGACAGATGATCTGTCAAATAAAATAACCCTGGTTCAGACTGGGTTCTGGGTTTCTGGGGTTCTGGCTCTGGGTTGGAGATTAGGCCACTATGATTGGTTTTCTGACACGGTTTAGGACTAGAGGAAAACAATCCTTCACCTCTGCAGTGTCTGCACCTCTGTGTTGCTGTGGGAGTGTCATTGATCCTCCTAACCGTCCTGTATGCTGCAAGTCTGCCTCAACTTGTTTTTGGATCGCCGCCCTTTCACCTCAGTAGCTCAGATTTTTCAGTTAATGTGTGCAGAGCTGAAATGCTGGGCTGTGTTTTCCTTCCAAGCTGTTTCTATCTTTTCTGTTTTCTTTCAGCTACATATTGACTGATTTTCAAAGGAAAATCTGGAAAAAGTCCTTCGGAGAAAGGATAAGTTGCTCTGACACAGAGAGAAAGGACCTTTGGACTGAAGCGTAAACTTTGCATGTTTGTCTTTCTGCAGATCTCTGCTAGCGTTGTTACACACACACACACACACTCACACACACACACACACTCACACACACACACACACACACACACACACACACACACACACACACACACACACACACACACAGCATTTCTGATATTTGTTCATCATATCAACTTCACTTCCTGTCTACAGAGGCAGCTGACACACAAAGGAAACATTGCAACATCTCACAAAGCAGAAGCTGTGAAATAACCAGGGCTGTAGTGCACGGGTATCCAAAGTGTGGCCCAGGGGCCTTTTGCTGCACTGTGAAATATTTTCTTTGGCCCCGGATGTCAATATAAGCATAGGAAATATATATGTTTTCATCTTGTAGACCAAGATTTTCTTTACAGATAAATAACATCTTAACAGCTTTTCTACATTGGTCTTACATTTGGACAAACATTGAACTGCTTTTACTCAAACCCAATGCAATCAGTCCTAAAATAATCCAAAACTATGGGTCTGTTTTCTGACAGAAGAATTGCAGAAAACATTGTATGTTTTCTATCTGGTGTGATGTACAATTTGACTTTAGTTTATTATTAATGAATAAAACAAAAAGCACAAAAAGTTAATATTAAGATACTTTTTTTGGTGCTCCAATTTCTTAGGACTGAAGGAGTTTGGCCCACATGGCACAAAGTTTGGACACGACTGCTGCAGCGGAGGGAGACCCTGAGTCTTAGAACGAGATAAGATAAGCAGCAGAACAAACAGAGCCTGGGTCACTGTGTGTGTGTGTGTGTGTGTGTGTGTGTGTGTGTGTGTGTGTGTGTGTGTGTGTGTGTGTGTGTGTGTGTGCTGCTGCTGGCAGGACCTCTCTGCTTGCTGGGACAACAGATCATTTTCTTTTTCTCACTCTGCCACTTTCTCCTACTACTCTCCAATCATCATGCAGTGTCAAATGTCTTGAGTTTGAAGATTTGGGAGTTTTAAAGCTCTAAAACTGGTTTTATGAGAAATGTTAAAATTTTATTGTTGTAATAATTCATCATTTATACTCATGTAAATCCATAAAGTTAGTCATAATAAACATTTATTTATTTTTATTCTGCATACAGTAAAAAGCTTCACAGAGTTCTCATCGGCCAATCATCTGAGCCTAATCTGCCCAGCTGGATGCTGATTGGCCGTCCTGGCTCAAGCCCACCATTTCTTTTTGTGTTCAACAGCAAGAGACAGAAAACTGAGATGTTTATGTCCAAATGTCCACGGCAAAGACAGGACAAAGACAAATAAAAATGGTTGAAAACAATAACCCAGCTCCATCTTTGTCCGGTTCTGTTGGAGTCTGGTCAGATTCTGACTTTCTGAGGACAGTAAACTGGACGGTGTTACATCTTCTGTGACCATAAGAGGAGCTGTTGCATTTTAACAACAGCGTAACCTCTGCAGGGTAAGTGGAAACAAACGCAAAAGGGGGAAAAAAAAGAGCCCAAAGTATTATGACTGTCAGGGAATCCAGTCACTGAATATAAAACCTCTTATCAGAAACTAGCCAACTGTAACTGTAATAAAATATTGTCCTTTAATGAAGGACAATAATTTTTACACACTTCATAAATCATATGCTGTTTCTGTTGTTTTGTTTGTGTATTTTGGATATTTAAAATGTATTTCAGTTCAGGTGTTAAATATTCATTAGAATTTAATCTTTGAGAATGTGTCCTTGCATTATTTTTCCCATTAGCATTGAAATACTTGAAAATGGCTTTAAAATAACAATATTGTCGTTTATCGCAATAACTTCTAGGACAATTTATCATCCAGCAAAATTGTTTTTGTGACAGGTCTACATAAATATTATCAAAGGTAGTTATAATATTAGTGATCAGATATTATTGTTTATTTGTTGTTTGGCTTTTTTGTATTATTTTGCGTTTGCGTTTTTAAGCATTGCGTTAAAATGCAACAGCGCCTCCTACGGTCACAAGGTCGTCCTCACGCTCCCAGGAAATCGCAGAACTGAGCGAAGTCTCTCTGCATGAAGTTGTGACTGAGCTGCAAGTCGTCCTCCGAGGGGACGTACTGGACGCTGTCCTCCTGCAGGAACATGCGCAGCTCCGGCGGTCCTGGCGGCGCCGGCGGCTCGGGGCCGTCCAACAGGCCGCCCCTGGCGTTCTCCAGGACGCCCAGGTATGAGTCCATGTCAGTGAGCTCCAGGTCGCTGTCGGAGCTGCAGCCGCTGTCGCCACCCACCGAGTCGGAGCGCAGCTGCTGCATCTGGTACTTCTCCTGCATCAGAAACTGGTTTGTGTTCTGGGGGGCCTGCATGCCCCGGGCCCCCTTGCCCTGGATGTTGACCGGACGCAGGGACCGCAGCGACCTGCGGGGGCGCTGCGAGCGATGGGGGCGGGGCCTGTGGCGGGGAAGGCGCGCCCTGGGCCCCCCCTGCCTCCGGCTCTGCAGGCGGCCGCTGCAGCTCTTGGTCCAGCCGGCCGTCCAGCCTGGAGTCTCGCCGCTCTTCCTGCGGACCTCGGCCTCCTTCAGCTTCTCGTCCTGCCGCCTCTGCTGCTGGAAGATCCTCCTACACATAATCTCTGAGAGCATTTCTTATGTTTCTCGCCTCCTCCTGCTTCACATCGCTTCTGCTTCAGATCACGGCTGAGCCACCTCTTTGTCGCTCTACCTTTTCACCACTCTGGCTCTTTTCTTCTTGACCTCTGGCTTTGGCTGGTGCATCGCCCGCTCTTCTTCCGCCTGCAGCAGCAGCTTGCCTGCTGATCTGACTCTCTGCCCCCCTGATGTCTCTTCTTCTCCTGTCTGAAGGCTGGATCAGCTGCTGGATCGGGTGCAGAGTGAATGCAGTGAAGTGATGAGGCGTTCAGGGAACGTCGGGCTGCCTGGAGTCCGGTCAGGGAGTGTGATGCTCTCTGCTCTGACAGCACTGGATGTGTTTCTTCCTCCTCACAGCCAACATAAAGAGCTGGACCGGTCCACTTCCTGGAGAGAGAGGGGGCGGTGCCTTCAGGCGCCTCCGGTTGAGGCTTAACCCTCTGAACATGACAGAAGGTCAAAGGTTGAGTGGATCTGCTGAGAATTGGATCTCTGGACCCAGACGGATGGAGCTGTTTGTCTCCAGCAGAGAGTGTAACTCCCCCTTCAGCCCGATGATGGTTCAGTCCGGTTCGTTATAGCTGCTGTAATCTGATCCACAGCTACCACCCCCCACCCCCATCCTGTCTGACAACAACAACCCCAGCAGCTCTGTGGCTGCTGCAGCACATTAGAGAACCGTCTACTAAATCTGCAAGGTTAAAGGCAAATTAAGCAACTAATAAAATTTTTTAATTAAGCTATTATGCTTATCAATAAAGTGGGATGTTGTGAACTAACTAATACATTTTTTTATTCATAATACTTTAAAATTTAGAGACATTGCATAAAAATACTGGAAATATCAAAACTAACGCTATTTTTGTGGGCCGAAAGAGGAACGAAATAGAGTCATGCAGCTTCAGTTATTACCGCTAGAAACTGGACATCAGCCCTAAAATCTGGTTCTGAACCTTAAACAGTTAGACAGTCAGCCTTCTGTCACCCAGTGACAGAAGGCTGACTGTCACTCAGATCACCCAGTGAACTGGGTGATCTGAGAAAATAGACTTTAAAACACTGTTGTTAGTTTATAAATCACTGAACAGCTTAAAGATCTGCTGCTGTTATAGCAACCTTCCAGACCTCTCATATCTTCTGGTTCTGATTCTGCTCTGCATCCAGAACCAGACCCAAATATGGAGTAGCAGCATTCAGCTACTACAAACCACAAGTCTGGAACAAACTGCCAGAAAACTGCAAAGCAACAAAAACACTGAGTACTTTTAAATCAAGACTAAACCCCCACTTGTTTATTCGCTTTTGAACCATAATAACGGGAATATTAACCAGCATATTTGATGTGTAATGATTAACAACAAGTTTGATGATGGTAATCATCAAAATATAAAGCTGAGAAGATTAATCAGAAACCAGGTCAACCGATGAATCAAGCTGGGGACATGCTGAAGACAAAAAAATAAATAAAATAGAGTCTTCCTCAGAACAGATGCCTTCTGTCCGGATCCTGCTCCAGCAGCGCCACCACGCGGTTGGAATTTACTACTGCGCTTTAAAAACATCCGTGAAACCTCAGAGTGGGTAAGCATGAATACCCGCTCAGTGATATGTTTATAGTGAGCTCCAGAAATTCACCTTTGACCCTGGAGGAGTAGATAAACGCGGCAAAAAGAAGTTCAGTCGTGCAACAGTTTTCTATTTTTGAGAATAAAATATGACGTTTTCATTTTGTTTTTGGGAGGTTTGATGGAAATGTTGTAAAGTTAAATGTAACATAAATAAACATTTATAAATATATAAATTTTAATATGTTTATATATATATATATATATATATATATATATATATATATATATATATATATATATATATATATGAACATGCACAAAATGACATGTCAGATATTGCAGTTACCATTTTATTACTTTTTTACTTTCTTTTGTTCCATTAATCTGGGTTTGCTCGGTTTGCATTTCCTATCAATACGAACAATAGAGTTAAATCCAATAATAAGAAGAAGAAAAAGAAGATTTTTTATATTTATTTTTACCAAAACATTTATTATACACTAAATTAACAATAAGAAACATTACATACTCAGGTCAAGAACACTAAAATGACACATGAAAACGCAGATTCAAGTCTTCGTCAGTCTGTTCAATAACATAAACATATCCTCCGGTGCCAGACAACATGCTTTAATAAAGGCGATTTACACCCGAATAGAACTTTCTTGATGGGTGACACCACCATGCCGAGACAGTATTTTACCAAAAACTCGTCGCTGAGAAAATGAGGCACACCCGATACCCCAAAAAACCCTTAAAACGAGACAAAACTAACACAAAATCACAATTAAACAAGTAAAACTAAACACCCAGTGAAAAACAGTAAGTAAAAAACCAAAAATGGAAAAATATTCAATGGCACTCTCACTCTTCCGCACACACCCTCCTCTCACACGAAGAAGAAAAATTAACATTTTTTTGTTTTATGTTGTGATATTACAACACGGGCCTAACATTGTTAATAATTAGATAATCAATAACAAATAAATAAAAATGTGAATTGAATTACAGTAATAGTGTATTTAAGATACATCTAGAAAAAGGATAAAGAGCCAACAATGACTCAGAAGGCTCTTTATGTGAAAAACTTTACTAAACTTCTTAAAATGCATCATCCGGTCACATCGGCTATTAAACAAGTTTCAGAGCCAACAGACACGCAGAAACATGAAAACAAATCAGGTCACATGACTCCAGTTAAACAACTTCCTGTTTGTCAAAAGAATTGTCAATAAAGGTTTTTTTGAGCTGTCAGCAGCTGCTGCATCATAACAAACATGGCGGCGGTTTCTCTGTGACGCGGTTTTAATTAAATGTTGCCTTTTTAAACGCTCTAGTCCGTTCGGCGTGTTCCTCCGCGGATCACGATGGAGCCCGGCCCGTTTCCAGAGGCGGTTCCGGCCCGGAAGGTGACTGTGGTCGGTTCGGAGCTGGTGGAGAGCTACACGGTACGGCTGCTAGCTGGGGCTGTAGCAACACTGATGCTAAAGGAAACATTGAGACGGACTGCAGTTTGACAGTCGAGGGCTTTAGATCTGCCGTTGTCATGGTGACACATTCTGTCTCGTTTACTGAAAGTCATCAGGGCAACGTAGGTCTCGCTACATCACTATCTAGCGACAGCTACACAGTGACGTCACTGTCACATCACTGTGTGATCACTATGTGATGTGACAGTTACGTCACATCACATGTAGCTGACAATGATGTCGCTACATGATGTAGCGTTTATTTTCCTAGATTTTAACGATTAAAGCTTACAGTTACAGGAAGGATCAAATCTAGTTCATCACAAGTTTGTAATATCAAATAAGGCCAATAAAACAAGATTTCAAAGACTAAAACATTTGAGTTATGGCTCTTAAAATCACGGGAAAGGCAGCAGACGCTCAGTGAGACTCTCCATAAAAGGTCAGTTAGTGAAGAAGCTGGCTGTTCACGTAGGGCTTTATGCCAGTACATTAATGGAAAGTTCAATGGAAGGAAAAATATGCGCAACATAGGCATCCAGTTAAAGACAGCCAAAGACAACATCAGAAGCTTCGCTCCTGCGTTGCTGAGTGATCCAAAGATTTGGATGAAATCCCAAAGCATTTAGGATTTCATTACGAGATCCAGAAGGACCTCTAGATGAAATCACTGTTAATAGGATGTTAAAGGTCACCACAGGCAACAATCACCAGTCTAAATCAGTCTGGACTTCCAGAACCTCAGCAGAACCACAGGGTATTTTCCTCCATCCCATGTTGCATTGATGCAGTGATTCATCAATGCAGTAACCATGGAGACGGCTTTGTTGTTTTCCTTCAGGTGTACATCATCGACGTAACGGACGGTCTGCACCGATGGACGGTGAAGCACCGCTACAGCGATTTCTACGAGCTGCATGAGAAGGTGAGCAACAGCCCATAATATGGTGACAGTTTTAACAAATATATAAAAAAACATATTTTTTTATAAGAACAAACTGCAGCTTTAGCACTTTCCGCTCCCATCTCAGCCCCATAGTTTTCAATTGTATTATTGTTTGTCGTGTAACCGTTGAACACTTTGAGGACTGTGATTTGCCTGGATTTGAGGAGAAAGGCATCAAACTGAACCATCATCTGATTTCCTCCTGAATCTGCAGCTGACGGCGGAAAAGAAAGTGGACCGCCATCTGCTTCCTCCCAAGAAGATCCTGGGGAAGAACTCCAAGAGTCTTGTGGAGCGGCGGCAGAAGGAGCTGGAGCTCTACCTGCAGACGCTGCTGCAGCAGTTTCCAGAGGTCACACCCACTCCGCTTGCCTACTTTCTGCACTTCCACCTCTATGTGAGTATCACCTGATCAGGTGGACTACGACCACCTGGGTCTGGGTCCTTAGGCAGAAAGCTTTCTGCTCCAGTTTTAAAAATTAACTCAAATCAACTTGTTTGAGCATTGCATCATGCAATAATATTATTCCTTCATCAAACCACACCTGGGCTGGTGCCTTGATTCTTTCATGCATGTTTGAGAAATCCTTTAATCCCTGGAGAAACCATTCAGCTATTCAAACACCTAACTGAACCTAGTCCCACCTACAAGGTGCAGCTCCTCCTTAGAGCTGCACTCAGAGTAAAATGTTTTAGATATATTTGATATACACATGACATTTTTATAACAACTGAAGGTAACATAGTTACTTGATATTGTTAAATAGTGGCACTTTGACCCTGCAAAACATGTAATAATGTCCCTTTAATGTTATTGTTGCTGTTTTATGCCCAATGTTGGTCAAAGAAAAAGAGACAATGCGACCACAAAGAACTTAATTCACCAATAATAATAATAATAATGCTGAATTAATTAAGATTAATTTCCCATATATACAAGCTAAAAACTTGGATATAAACTGATGTTGAGAATTTGTATAAAAATAGAATTTCCTGATTAAAACCTTTGATGTTAAAAACAAAAATATTCTCCAATATTGGAAAATCTGTAAGTTGCAAAAAAAAAAACTTTTCAGTTTATAAAGTCAGAAATCTGCGACACAAACGACAAAAGTTATTTGAGATTGACGTAAATTTATGAGCAACACATCAAGTATACTTTTCACAATGTTATTGGTAGAACCAGATTAACAGGTAGAACGTTTCTCAGGTCCAGACTCACCTGGACCCTGATCCAAACTGAGACGGTGAGGGAGAAGCTGCATCCAGTTTTATTATCTTCCTGTTTCATAACAGCTTGATGTTGAAACCAAAGGAGAATAGAAAGTCAGACTGAAAATGTGGCTGTCAAGCAGGGCACTGCTGGCTATCAGTGGTTCTCCTTTTCTCTCTGTGTTGTTCTGGTTTTCCCTGTGATGTTTTTCCTACTGATGGTTGATTTCTGTTCTTGTTGTTAAATCCAAAATGAAATAATCAGAATCTCTTGTTTCAGGAGATTAATGGCATCACAGCAGCGTTAGCAGAGGAGCTCTTCCATAAAGGTCAGAGGAACCATTTTACCTCGTTTTTAGACGAAGAAGCAGAACCACCGGAAAATTCCGGATCTGCTGAGTGAAATGCTGGTGACATCTAGCTGCTGTGTGTCTGTGCTGCAGGGGAGCAGCTGCTGCAGGCAGGAGAGGTGTTTTCCCTGCGTCCGCTCCAGCTTTACTCCGTCTCCCAGCAGCTCCGCCTGGCCACGCCCACCTGCCTCAGCGGAGATGCCAGAACGGACCTGGGACACATCCTGGACTTCACCTGCAGGCTGCGCTACCTCAAGGTATCGCCGCCTCACTGCGTGTTCTTGCTGCAGAGTGCATGGCTGTTCATACAGGTTCTGGTTCTGGTCAGATTTCAGGGAGCAGAGGTCCAGTAGGAACCAGTAACATCCAGGAGAGCAGTCTCCCCTTTGACCTGTCAGTGTTCAAGTCCCTGCTGCAGATTGAGGTAACTTCAGCTCCCACAATACTTTAGCAGGGCAACCGGCGTGAGATCTGAGAAAATTTAATTCCTGATGTTCTTCAAAGTTCCAACGACGGCTCTGAGACGTCGACGATGGCTCTGAGAGGTTGATTATGTTTGTGCTGAAAGCGTCTCTCTGTCTCCATCTTCAGATCAGTGACTGCAGCTCGCAGCAGATCCAGGGTCTGCCGTCCCTGAGAGCCAGCCTGGCTACGCTGAACCTCCACCGCTCTACTGAGTCCATGATGGTGAGCCAGTCCAGAACATGAAGCCAGAACCTGGAGCCGAGCTCCAGATGCTCCAGAACCTGAAGTTGTGATCTCTTCCCTCCCTCCAGTCCATCCTCGTCCCAGAGGCCAACGAGTTCCCGCAGTGGGAACCGGAGGGGGCGGAGCCAGGCTGTCCTGTCACGGCACTGGTTCCTACCTGGAGACACCTGACCACACTGGACATGAGCCACAATCGCATCGACGCCGTCGACGACTCAGTGGTGAGTCAGGCTTAGCCTAGTTTCCCTACCCCTGAGTTAATTAAAGCTTTGAGCCTAATCCTCTAAACTGTGATCTAATTAAAAATCAATTAGATCAGCGATAATTTTATTCCACCTTAAATGTGACACTAAACTATAAAATAAACCAATACGTTGAGCGTCAGTGGAAATATAGAAACTGTTCATTAACCAGGTCCTATAATTGTTTCGTCCTTCAAACAGAAGCTTTGGAGTCAGATTGTCAGACATTTTCCTCCAGATGTTCTCCAGATTATTGAGCTGAACTCAGGATGCTACTGGTGGAGAAAGGGAAAACATCTGAACGGCTCTGCAGATTGCTTCCTGAATGGGTGGGGCCATGTAGGTGGGCGGGGTTATGATGATGGGCGGGGTCGTGCTGATGGGTAATCTGAAGACGAGCATCCTGCCCAGACAGTTGAACTTGATCTTGTTGAACCAAAGCCAGACTGACCCAAACAACTTTTTAAAACTGATTTCTCCTCTCATCGATATAGTTAATTATTTTCTGCAGGCCAGTGAAGGGAACCTCTAGAGATGTTTAATGTGTGGTTTTATGGAAACGTTGAAGTTCTGTAATCTCTGTAGTAGTATAGTGAACTTTGCTGTGTGTGTGTGAAGTGTATGTGTGTCAACGTGGAGCTGATGGTCTTCCTGTTGCAGAAACTCATCCCGAAGGTGGAGTTCCTGGACCTGAGCTACAACCAGCTGTCGTCTGTGGAGAACTTGCAGGTCTGTCCGGCACCATCCTGAACCATCGAAACCGCAGGTCCTGTCTGACGTTGAGCCGCCTGTTTCGTTGTTTCCTGCAGCACCTCTACAGCTTGGTGCATGTGGACCTGAGCTACAACCGCCTGCGCAGCCTGGAGGCGGCTCACACGCGGCTGGGGAACATCAAGACGCTGAGCCTGGCGGGGAACCAGCTGGAGACGCTCAGCGGCCTCTCCAAGCTCTACTCTCTGGTCAACCTGGACCTGAGCCACAATCAGCTGGCACAGGTAACCCTCCTGTTAGCGTAGCCACCATTACGCTAACAGTGTTTATGCGACAGTATGAGCAGCGAAAGACATGAGGGCCTTTGGGGAGGGAGATTCGCATTTTGTTTGTGGAAATACAGGAACTAAATTGAGTTTCTGTCGCCAAGTCTGATTATTATAAGCAGCTTTGGGCTTTTTTTTTTAAAGTTGCGCCTTTTTGGGCCCCATTTTGAATGTGAAGTTGCTCATTTGGGCTTGGAAATAAGCAGAGACTCATAATTAAACCCAGAATTTGTCTGTCTGGGAAAAACTACCCTGTCTGTGATTAATGACTTTCCCTTATGGACTTTCCTTGTCCATAATTTCCCGGATGATCCGTCCAGCTGTGTCTTTGTTAATTTCAAGTTAACATATTACGTGAATTATGTTTAGTTTTGCATTGCGCTCCAGAAAATTGCAAACATCAAGCAATAAACGTGAGAACAGCCACGAAAAGTTGTGCAACTAAACGCCATTATTAATATTATTAATAATTATTCATATTAAGATCAGTGTCACAAATCTGTGGTTTCCAGTAAAAACCTGTTGATGGTGGAACTCTGTGTGTTTTTCCAGCTGGAGGAGATCAGGAACATCGGAGCGCTGCCCTGCTTGGAGAAGCTCAACCTGTCCAGTAACCCCATGTGCATCATCCCAGACTACAGAACCAAGGTTCTGGCCCAGTTTGGGGACCGGGCAGCAGAGGTAGGCTCTTCTCCTGACCCGGTTCCTCTAAACCAGCTGGTCCTTGTTCTGATTCAATCATGAACCCGACTGAATTGAAGAGCCTTGTCTGTCTAAATCCGGTAGATTAATCGTCTGACAGGAGGATGAGAAGGAGACGAAAAGGTGTTATAATAGTTTTCGGTTTTTCAAAATAGTGCAACTTTATTTCATTTAAATCAGTTAATTTTAGAGTGTGTTTGCCAGTGTTTATTAGTTAAAATGTTGAAAAAGTTTCTCAGTTTCAGTTTTTGTTATTTTGTTTGTTCTGGTTCGCTGTAATAATCTTGGAAATGTCCTGTCTGTAACCTGTTGTGTCTCGGCCGTCGTCAGGTGAGCCTGGACTGCAGAGCGACGACGGAGAAGGAGCTGGACACGGTGGAAGTGCTGAAAGCCATTCAGAAAGCCAAAGAGGTCAAAGATCGCATGAGCAGCAGCGATAAGAAGGTAAACAGGGAGGCAGAGTTTTGAGCTCTTCTATGGATGATACAGTGGTCATTACTAAAATATAAATTTTCTATTTAGTTTGTTCTGTTTCATCTAGAGCTACAGCTCACAATCATAATGATTATAATGATGATTAATTGGGTTTTAAAAATGGTCATTCTGCTGATTCTTGATTTTATCTTGATTTCATATACGTAATATAAACATATTAAAAGAAGCAAATAATTAAATAATAATGTTTTTTAAAATCATAAACATTTTCCTGCTTAAAGTCTAACAACATTGCTCTTTTAGTGAGCGTGTGATTATTTGTAGCAGAGGACAAAAGGACATCAAGCCATCTGTGCTGATCCCCAGTTTGATGTCATCAGTTTATGCTGAGAAATTTGCGCTACAGCGAATCAGAGCCGAGCTAAAAGCGAAGCGTTGATCTCTCCTGCTGCTGGTTGAGCTCCTCCTCTCTCTGTTGTCAGATCAGTGAAGATTCCAGGGCGTCTGCAGCTCCTCCTGCCTGCTCCTCCTCCTCGTCTTCGTCCTGCCCCAGCCAAGGTAATCATGTATGTATCAGGCTGTGCTTGAACCAATCACATCATGCCCCGCGCCCCGGGTCAGATCAGCTGCTGGACCGCCCAGATAGACCCAGCCTCATCCCACTGATGCTTTCAGCTTCTCTTTGTTCAGGACTGACCAGCAGAGAGGACGACCCCGACGCCCCTCCCCCTGTGGACGCCACACCCCCTCCTAACATCTCCGACACGCACCTCCTGTCTGCCGAACCTGCTCAGGTGAGGCTCAGACCCGGCTGATCACCATGGCAACCACGGGGCTGGAGCAGTTAGCACTGGATCAGAGCGACTGTGATGTGATGCTAACTAGCATCTGCGGCTAAATCTGGCGTATTTACAAGTTGGTTGATATGACACGCCACCTTAAATGATGCTAAACGATGTTACATCCACCAGAAGCCCCAGTGCCTCCACCTCAACAATATTTATGATGACCTTTAACCTCTCGATGCCTGAATTTATATGCAATCCTAGTTAAAAAAGCGACTTGTTAAATTACAAAATTTCAGAAAGAAATTCAAGGAAGTGGTTTCAGATGAGATTCTTCTCAATGTCTTAAGCATTAATTTAGAATATTCAGAGTATAAGACCTTCAAGGGTGAATATCTTTAATGGGGTCCATTAAGAAAATGGGGTGTTAAAATGGGGTGAAAGGTCAACTCTCAGGTCTGTGGAGATGTTTGTCTCCCTCTGAGGTTTTTGGGTTTTTATTGTCTGTGTGTTTTTTCTCCTGCAGGTAAAACGTTTTCCTCTCAGCCAGCCTGAACAGCCACTCCTAACAGCGAACGCAGCTTCTTCCTCTGCAGCCGTCTGGTGAGTGGAGCTCAGTGATCTGAAAGCACACAAATGTACCAGTAAAACAAAAGAAATGTGATTTAATGCTTTTAAAACTCAGACACTGCCGTGTAAACCTAATTTTTAAACGTTTTTTGTTTTCTTCCAGCTGTCTTTGCTCAGCTTGCTTTTCCAGTCACCTGGAGGTTCGCTGCTCCGCCTGCAGCGCCACCTGCAGCGCCACCTGCTGTCCGCTGCTCCCTTCTGCTCTGTTTGCCCTGTCCCTGTCCAACAAAGACTTCAGTACCCAGCTCTCCCAGCGGCTCTGCTCCATCCTGAGCGAGCAGAAAATGAAAAGAGGAGACGAAGAGGAGGAGGAAGAGCAGAGGTCTGATTCCAGAGACGTTCAGTCTGAAGTGCAGAGCACCGACGTCGGCGATCGCAGGTGATTCACCCGCTCCCTGACGCTTTCTGTTTTCTTCCCATTAATTTCCCTCAGAGAATTTATAATTATTTACTGTTTTATTTAACTTTTAGTTAAAGTATTTAATGCTTCAATAAAGCTGCAAACATCAATCTTTGCTCAATTGTTCTGTTTAACGTCACATTAATTTTGCTTCTAGTTTTTCACCAGAATTTTTTCTAAAGGTGTGAAGTTCTTAAAGCTGCAGTTATTTATTTATTTATTTTTTTACAAATTTGTTAAAAATCAAATAAGGCAGATAATCTCCTACGCCTCCTCCCTTTCTCTGCCCAGAAGAAATAAATTGCTCCCATCCAAAGACAACCAATCAGAGCCAGGAGGCGGGTCTTAGCGCTGTAAATAATCCTCATGTGCTCACTGCTAAACATAGTAATGGCAATTTACGGTTACAGGAACCAATAGTGGCTATGCTAACTAGCCTGAGCATTCGTGACAGGCTATGCTAACTACAGCATAGCAGAGATCAAGGAGGGGAGTGAGGATGATTGACAGCGCTAAGACCCGCCACCTGGCCCGGATTGGTTGATTATAGTCACCACTGGGAGAAGGCAGAAGAGCTCAATCTTTCTCACAGATTATCTGCCGCATAGAAAACTGTGATGACGTGTTTCAATAAACATGTAAAATAATGTTTTTTATAAAGTATTAAACATGTCAAAGTTTCTTTCAGTTTAAATATTTCTAATGAAAACCAAGAAAGCATCTAAAATCTGTCAGTTTTTAGAAAACCTTTCTGCTGCTCAGCGTAAATTCGGGACTTTACTTCAAGATGGCTTCCTCCCTTTGCTCCGCAGTCTCAGCTCCAGGGACGGCTACTTTGAGATGGGCCTGGATGACTCTGGGGAGGAGGTGGTTGGCTCCGCCCCCTTCCCGGAGGAGGAGGAGCCTGGCGTCCGGCCTGAGGAGCCGAGCGAGGAGCAGCTGGAGGTTCGGGTCCGCAGAGTTCTGTGGTGCTGCTGTGTCCTGGTCAGCGAGGAGGTGAAGCAGAAGGGGGCATGTCTGGTTCTGACGGACCGGCTGCTGGCGCTGCTCTGCTGGTCACATGACTCCCTGTCAGCCAATCAGGAGACAGGTAAAGACCCGTCTCCATTTTCTATCTGGAGAAAAGAAGATATTGTTGTTTAAAATAATTACTTAAAATATTTTATTATTGTTTTATCTATAATAATAATATTGGTGTTAATTTGTTATGATTCTAAATATTGTGAATAGTTTATAATATTACTAATTTTCCAGGAAGAATATCCTGAAGTTTTTTTGAGGTTCTGAATGGGTTTGGGTCTGGATATGTCTGGGTTGGCTGGTGCTGCTCGGGTAATCGTGTTTCAGATCTTTTCTCAGGCCCGGAGCAGAGTCCAGATGTAGAGGAGATTCTGTCGGGTTTCCAGGTGGATCTGCTGGTACCGTACTCCCAGGTTCTGCTGACCTGCCCAGCCGATCTCCCGGACTCCTGCCTCTCGTTTGGAATCAAAACGGGTCAGAACCGCTGGTTCATCTTCTCTGAGGCCAAGGAGGTCCGACAGACCAGAACCGAGCTGAACGGGCTGCTTCAGGTCAGAGACGTCGCCGAGGTTTGATTCAAATGTTGAGTTTAATTTTTCTCCTGTTCAGAACCTTCATGTTGGGTCAGAACCATCGTGTTGGGTCAGAACCACTGTGTTGGGTCAGGACCACTGTGTTGGGTCAGAACCACCGTGTTGGGTCAGGACCACTGTGTTGGGTCAGAACCTTCCTCAGGTGTGTATTTTCATTGTTTCACCATCTGGTTCTGGTTCTTCTAGGACCCCTCGGACCTCCCGGCTGCTCCTCTTCCTCGGCTCCTTCCTCCTTCGCTCCTCAGCCCCTGGGAGGCGGAGGAGAGTCTGTCAGCTGGGGGAGGATTCCCTGCCCACATCCTCTGCTCCTCTTCTCCCTCCTCTTCCTCGCCGGCCTCAGGCTCCGCCCAGCTCCCCTCTGATCTCTGCTCGGAGGACGCCGGCCTCCTGTCGCTCCTCTTCCTCACGCCCAGAACCCTCTGGGTTCTCCGGATGGACTTTAGGCAGCTGTGGACAGACAGCTGTGGACACCTGTCCTCTTCTTCGTCATCCTGGTGCAGGCTGATCCGTTTGGCCCTCAGCTCGGTTCTCCTTCACCCCGACCAGAGAGAGATGGGAGACGGACCCCACCGCTTTTCCTGTCCAGACCCGCAGCACTGCCTCAGGTTCTGACCCGACTCTCTGAGGCTGTTTTCAGACCCGATAGTTTGATTCGTTTGGGCACCAAACATTTGTTCACTTCCAGCTGCTGTGGTTCTCTTTCATGTTGTTCCCCTCCTCACCTGGGAGGGCGCTGTTCCAAGAACTACCAGAGGAATCGTCACCATAACCTCAGAAGAAAACGCTGAACTTATCTTCCTTCTTAACAAAATCTAAACAAAAACGCTGTAGTGTTAGATTTTAGTGATTGTAGGATTTCTGTTCTCTAGTTTTAGATCATTAGCATGTTTTTTTTTGGCTATATTTACTGTTAAGAATTAAAAAGAGGAATAACTTGATTTAGCTCGTTAATTAATTCTTTGTCCCGAATTCTTGTGTCTGTGTAAGTGTGCAGAGAGAAAAGAGCAATCATACGACGTCAGACTTCAGATATTCAGAGTTTTATCCAGAGAAATTCAATCCAAGAAGAACTTTACAATAAGCATCTCACCTAGAGCAAAAGTCCAAGACATTACAAAACAGAGACAAAGAACTGAGTAAAAAAAGAGGAAAGAATAACAGAAGATGCATCCTCCGGGAAACTCTCACTCAGCACAGAGATTCCAACTTCTGCTGTGAAACAAACCATTTTATAGACTGCATATTCTCCTCATTTAAATATATGCATTAGGAGGTGTGTTCTTTTCCTTTGTGTGGGCTGTCTTAATGTTAATTTTATTACCTCCTGCTAAAGAGCCCCAAAAGCAGATATATGGCAAACCCTTCTCGTACCAGCCGCTGTCCAGTTTGATATATGATTGCAGCTGCAGTATTATCTCTGCCTCAAAATGTTTCCACAAGAAAGTAGTTTGTATTTTTAACCAAGCTTGCACACAATGTAATGCTAAATAATGACTATAAGTTTGGATCTAATAAGTAACTAATTAAAAACATGCTTAAAGAAATATAGTTAATTCTAATATAGATAAAATTATTTATAAAAAGTTTTAAGATCCTAGTGAACTTTTGAACCATGCTCAGGAATTTGTTAATTGCCTGGCAGACAGACTCCCCATCTAAAGAGATTCAAGGCGTCTAGGCCTGTTTTCTGTCTACTCCTCTGTGTTCAGAGAGTCACCAGCTGTCCCAGTTTGGATCTGTATCTAAGTTTGTCTTAACCTAAAAGTTAACTTATGTACTATTGTGCTACTTTAAAATTCTTATTTCAACATTACCCAGAATTCCAAGCACTCCCCAAACGAACCAAACTTTCTAGACAAGCAAACTGGATCTGAATTAAAGCAACGTAAACATGGCTGGTGTGAATTCATTCTGTTTGTCTGAGTTTATGCGTCATGTTTCCACCAGGAGGTGCCACTCTGTGGATCTGCTGGCTGGAGGTCGGAGGCTGCTGCTGCTCTTCCCTCTGGCCCAGGACAGGAGCTCCTTCCTGGGGGAGCTGAGCCAGAGGAGAGCCTCTCTGGAGGGGCTGAAGGTGGTGGCGCTGCCCCGGCCCTGCGGACCCGGTGAGGACCAGCTGGTACCTGCAATGTCATAGAAACAGAGGATAAAATGCTTCATAGCTACTTACAGGCTCTATTAGCTAATTTTACAGCAAACACTAACAAAAGACGACTTAGCTGGAAGTCTGTTAAGCAGAGTAAAAAGATTTTTAAAAAGTCACAGCAGAGAAAAGAATCTGTCTGAAATGACTGCTGCTTGTGTTTCCAGCCTGCTGCAGAACCAAGGAGCCCTGCTGCTGCTGCAGCGACAGGAAGTCAGGCCATAGCAGGTGGGTGTTGTCGCAATATGCAATTAATTGCATTATAAATTAAATCCAGCTCAATTTACATTGATTTATTGTTTAGTCATCCAATTTTAGGTAGAAAGACAGAGAAAGACTTTAGTCTGGAGCTTTGGTCTCAACTAGGCCTTATTTCAAGGACAATTTTGTTTACAGAGACATCATAATTGGTTTTATTTGTTGTTTCTGTTTTTTGTTTAAGTTTTTTTGGATACTTAAAATGTGCTCCAGTGTCAAATGTTCATTAGAATTTAATATGAGAATGTATTACCATTATATTACCTGAACACTGTCTCAAAATAACAATATCATCATTTATTGCAATAACTTTTAAAATTTTCAAACTTAAAAATTCAAAATAAAGAAAAAAACGCACGTCTGAGTTTAATCTCAAAACTTCTGAGTGTCAGAAATTACTAAGCATTTTTTCTGAAATTTCCAAAACTAATCAGTCTTTTCTAGTAAATTTTCCAAGCATATCTTCAACTTTAAACTATAAAATGTATTTATTTTTCCTATTTACATTGACCTTAATGCACTGTTTTAAGTGACAGATTAAATTTATTGAGAATTAAATGTATAACTAAAAATGTATGATTGCAAAATTTATTAGTCTTTTTTTTTATTTGCACATTTTTCTAATAGTCTCACCAACTGTCTGAAGCTCCCTAGCTCCCTCTGGTGGCCTGAGTGTGGATGAGGTTTTATGAGATGAATCTGGTCTGCATACTTCGGTCTGTTCATGACATAATTTGATGTTTTTGTTTCTCTCTGCAGTCGGGACTCGGTGAGACTCCAAGACGAGGAGAACCAGGCGCCACCCCACCTGGTCTCAGGCCTCTCACCTGGACTGAAGCTCCTGGCCGGACTCAGAGGCCAGCAGCTGCTCTCCTACTTCAGCAGATACGTAGCTCAGGTGAAGCATTTCAAACAACTCACACTCTCCCCTCTCATCGCTAAAGTTCAAGAATAAAGTCCTAACTCTGTGAGAACTATTTGAAACTTTGTTAAAATGAGGAACGTTGAGCATCTTGCAAAGTTACATTTAGTATCTGTTTTAAAAATGATGAAACATTGAATCTTTTAACACGTCAGCACCAAATTATTATCAGCAGCAGCAGCAGATCCTTGAGAGGATTAGAAGGAAGAACCAGATGGATTGAGCTGCTCATCTCAAATAAAACTTTTTCTCATTAAAATGATGCTCAAAATTTACAACTTCTTGGTTATATTGCATTTTTATTCTACTAATGCCATGATTTTATTGTCATAAGTTAAACAATCAGCCTGTTAATTAATTGGAACCCTGCTGCTGCCACCTAGTGGAGGCTTGTTTATCTGCCTTATAAACATTTATCATTTAAGATTTTAAAAAAATTCTTTCAATTTATTTATGTCTGTAAATTTTCTGTATTTAATTTTCCTTTGGGACCAGCAGAGTATTTTCAAATTTGAATCAAATTGTCCCAGAAGTTATTGCGATAAACAATAATATTGTTATTTTGAGGCCATTCTCAAGTGAATAATGGTATAATAATGCTAGAAAACATCCTCCAAGATCAATGAACTTTATATTATGGTGAAAAGGAATTAAATTATTATTTAAATTTGTAATATTGTATGAAAAAGCTAAAATGATTACATAAAATATCTGCAGAATGTGACAATTAATCGCCAGACTAATCAATAACTAAAATAGGCCAGTTGTTTTTGCGGACCATTGTAGGTCGGTTTGATTCTGATGGTTCTTCTCTTCCCAGTCGCAGGCCGAGGAGCTGAGGCATGTCTGCTGGCTCTCTGTGCTGCTCTACAAGGCTCCAGGAAGTGAGGTCACTTCCTGCCTGTTGCTTTCCACCGAGGCCATCTACTTCCTGCTGGACGACTCCGTCCTGCCGCTGCATCCCCACTCAGGTAGGACTGCCAGGAGCAGGCCGGTTCTGGTGATTATATGTCGACCCGGTGTCCTCATGTCCACTGTTTCCGCCTCAGGGACGGACGCACCGAGCTCTGAGGACGCCGAGACGAGTCTCTGCATCTGCCTGAGCGTCCGGCTGGCTGAGCTGCAGGCCGTCAACGTGGGACTGTTTGACCAGAACTTCAGGGTGGTAGGTGAGTGGACCCGTCCCTGGGCCTGTCGCCAGAACCGATAAGTCAATTAATCGCATTGCAAATTGAAACAATCTCAATTCCATTTGCACTATTTATCGTTTTTCTCTTTCTACCAAAAACTCTATGACTAAAGTCGCGCTTCCTTTCAGTTGATATTGATAATTATTGATTAGTTCTCTGTTAAGCATCTGAAATATTACCAAAATGCGCGGCCGGATCTTACCTATTATTTCCTCAGTTTTCACTCCGTGCTGTTGTTGTTTATTATTTAGCAGATATTTGGCAAAACCTTAAAGTACTGCTGTGCCAGTTACTCAACAAGTTGTTGCTTGGTAACCAAAGAGTGAGTAAGTAAGTTGATGCCACCAGCTAGCTTAGCAGCTAAAGTCTTTCCTCTGCCTACATCCCCCAGAATGCTTTGTGGTTTTGAATTGGAGTTCAGAGAATATTTTATATATTGAACATTCTGTCAGCTTTATTATCTATTGATATCGATCTAGTGTCTATTGCGATATTGATGTTGATGTTTCTGTTGTTTTGTTTATTTGGGATATTTAAAATTTCTTCTACTTCCAGTGTTAAATGTTCATTAGCGTTTAAAGTTCATTGATCTGTGATAATGTGGTTTTGCATTATTATACCATTATTATTTTAACACTTGAATATGATCTCAAAATAACAATATTTTTATTCATCATAATAAATTTTGGATCAATTTACCATCCAGTGAAAGCCTACCTGTCCCCGTGTCGCCCCAGCTCTAACCGTCTGTGTCCCCGCAGGACGCTGTGCGGACCAGGTGGTCTGCTGTCTCAGCCGGGACGGCTACGGGACGAGCGTCTTCCTGCAGCGGCTGATGGCGGCTCTTAGCCTGCAGCAGCAGCAGCGTTCGCCCCAGCCCGACCCGTCCGATCAGGACTTCTACTCCCAGTTCACCGGTAACCCAGAGGACAGAGAGAGACATGTCCCCCCACCCCCAACTCCAGATCTGACTGTGTGTGTCTCCCCCTGCAGGGAAGATGCAGAACTACGAGCTGGTCCACAGCAGCAGGGTGCGCTTCATCTACCCCAGCGACGAGGAGATGGGCGACCTGACCTTCATCGTGTCAGAGAGGAAGACTTCTGGCAACGCGCCGCCTCCGTCCTCCTGCAGCATCCTGCTCTATCTGCTCGTCTTCCAGGTGAAAACTGCAGTCCACACATGTCTTCTGAGACAAACTTGACCCCTAAGGGAGCATCTTCAGGCAGTGGCAGCTCCGGTAGTGCTGGAGCTGCCTCCTCTCATCAGCGAGCGCTCTAAAGACACCTTCCGTCCTCCTGGGGCTTCCTTTAGACCAGTGGTGTCCAAACTTTTTGCCACTAGGGGCAAAATCCTTCAGTTTGAAAACAATGGGGGTAAAAAAGCATTTAAAAATGAACTTTTTGTGCTCTGTTTCTGACTTTTTGGGATTGCACAAAATCCTTCAGAGGGCCACAAATGGCCCGTGGGCCACACTTTGGACACCTTCGCTTCATAGACTGTTTGGCGCCCCTTGTGGCACCATGGTGACCCTGGTAACCCTGATGACCTGGTGCTCCCTGGTAACCATGGTGACCTCTCTGTCTGTCCTGCAGGTCCAGATTCCCAGCCAGCCGTCCGCCTCTACTGAGCGGTCTCCGGTCCTCCAACCCCGGACGCTGGTCCTCACTGGGACGGACGTCTTCCTGCTGGACGAGGACTACGTCAGCTACCCTCTGCCGGACTTCGCCAAGGAGCCGCCATCCAGGTGGGACACAGAACCGTTCAGGTCTCCCATCCACTTCTAATCTGTCAGTGGGCCACAAACCATGACTCCACCTCCGTGCTTCAGTTGTTGGGAGGTTTCCATCGTGGGATATCATGAGATTTTAACCCAACATTTCCAGGTGACTCACTTCGAGCCTCATCTGGTTGTATATTATTATTATTATTATATTTGACTAATCCAAAGACGAGAAGGAGCCAGATCAATAATTCGGATGAACTTTAGTGAATAAAACGGCTGGACAAATCGTCTTCTTAGTTTCTGGAAGACGGAAGGCATGTGTTCAGAATCCCTCTATGAACTTGACCTCCATAGGTTGTTCTACTTAATAATCGTGGGACAACTCTCAAGGCAAACATCATCAACAATCAACTAAATAAATTAATCAGTAATGGGGAGTTTCATCCGAGGTCCAGATATTTTTTTATCTTTAGTAAAGATCAACAACTTTAACTAAATCTCCTTTATAATAGCAATTCCAGCTCAGATTGTATTAAATTATAATATCCTAGATAGTAGGTCCTAAACCAATCCTTAACACACCTCTTGTGAGAAAGTGGCTCTGTTCTTTGTGTTTGTCCTCCTGTCCTCATGGTTACATAATGCTCCTGTCCCTGTCCTGCAGAGGGCGCTACCAGCTGTGTGAGGCCCGACGGATCCGGGACCTGGACCGGGTTCTGCTGGGTTACCAGCCCTTCCCCCAGGCCCTGACCCTGGTGTTTGACGACCTGCCGGGTCCGGACCTGCTCTGCCACCTCACCATGGACCACTTCGCCCCCTCCGGCCCGGAGGCTCCGCCCCCTGGGGGCGTGGCCGGCAGCCAGGGCGAAGTGCAGTGGTGCATCTTTGTGCCAGGGGGCGACAGCAGGGAGCGGCTGATCTCGCTGCTCGCCCGCCAGTGGGAGGCGCTGTGCAGCCGGGAGCTTCCTGTCGAGCTCACCGGCTGATTGGATGCTGGGGACCGCTGTCGCCGTGGGAACCGCTGTCGCCATGGGGAACCGCTGTCGCCATGGGGACTGCTGTCTGGATCTGGGGGCGCTCCTAGTGGTCGAAGGTTTTTTTGGGCATCTCGATATCGGCTGCTGGAAGTGCTGAAGATTCAGAGTCGCTCGTTTTTAAAAAACAGGAGGTGAAACGAATGGACTGGTGTTGCACTGCAGGGGGCGCTGCAGCATTACCTCAGGAGTCTAACGGTCAATATCATGTTGATGCACTGCAAAAACATAAAATCTTACAAATTAAATTTCATTCAGTTTCTAGCGCAAATATCTCAGTCCTCAGACAAAACTAACTTACAAATAAATTTTCTCCAAGATATAGGAGCTTGTTATAAGTTGATAATTCCTTAATATTGATTAAAATGTGCTAGTTCCAGTGACACATTATTTCTCTTATAGCAAGACATTTTCCCCATGTAATAAATGAAATAATCTGCTGATAGAACTAGTCCTTTTTAATCAATATTTAGGAATTATTGACTTAGAACCAGCTCCTATTTCTTTCTGAAAAGTTACATGTAAGTCTATTTTGTCCTATTTCAAGTGTAATAAGATATTTGCACTTGAAAAAAACGATTTTGAGTATCTGTGGTGCGTAACCTTTAAATAAATGAACTCAGCACAAATACCGGAGACAGGGACAGTTACTTTCAGAAATTAATCTGGGTTATTTAGCCTGTTATCGGATGAAAATATCATTACGTTTTTTTATTCACATTGAAATGTAGCCGTTTCAGGCTAAATATTCAGTGTGAAACTGCTACATTTAGAAATGAATGAATAACGTGGCGAAAAAACTGACAAATGAACCAACCACTGTTTTCTCTAAATAACCCAAATTATTGCTGTTAATTTTGTAATTTTTTAAACCTCGACGCCAACATAAACAAGTGATTCCAAAGCTGCTTGATTTCTTCTTAAATCTGCTTTAAAACCAAAAGTTTAATTCATGTGTTTATTTTCTGTTCTATGGCATAAATCCATTTGCACACAAACTTTCACCCAGTTGCTTGGCACAATCTGCTCTGAATGTTGTATTTCTTGCACATTACTATACCAGTATTATCGGACTGTATGTTGAAGCTTTTTATTAATATTAATTTGACAGGATTGTTGCTTTATGTCAGACTGGATGTTTTTCATCCTGAAACATTACAAATTTAGGTTTCTAAAAATGTTTCCAACATGAAGTCTTAAATATCATAAACACAGTTATTATAGTGTTGTGTTTTTTTCTATATATGCACATTCCCAGTGTTTGTTTTTGTATGTTACAGTCAACATGACTGAATGGAGAACCCGTCTATAAAGCCACTGAATAAAAGTGAAACTGAAAGGATTTTGATTTGACGTAAACTGCTTGAGTGGAGCCAAATTAATTTCACATTATCTCAAAAGTCTAATGTATTCATAAACGTTAATAAGAAGGGTGTTATATCTCAGTATGATTTAGTCTGATAGACGTATGATGCAGTTTGTTAGTCATAGTTTTCCGTTTATTTTATTTCAGTTAACTAGAGTAACCTTGGTTACTGAAGGACAGGTCGGTCAACCATGAAACCCAATCAGTCATCATGGGAACCCACATCATGAAGATCCCGGAGAAAATCCAGTTGAAGGAGAAAAGCGCAGAAGAGTCCGCTGGGAAGACGCCATCTTGGATCTGCCTCACCAGTCAGAGCGGGATGGTGAAGGTTGTCATAGAAACTGTTCTCTTATGTTACTGCTGTGAGTCACACGATGTTCTCTTGAATTTCCAATAATGAGATTTAAAAAAGGAGTGCTTCTTGTCATGGAGATGACAGCACGATCTGCCTCACCCGAGCTGTTTGTAGCCGTGGAGACAATGACGCCATCTTGGACCTGCCTCGCCGTGACAGAGCATCTCTGACAGAGCAGGATGATGAAGGGACGCCGACGCCATCTTGGACCTGCCTCGCCGTGACAGAGCAGGATGATGAAGGGACGCCAACGCCATCTTGGACCTGCCTCGCCGAGACAGAGCAGGATGATGAAGGGACGCCGACGCCATCTTGGACCTGCCTCGCCGTGACAGAGCTGGATGATGAAGGGACGCCGACGCCATCTTGGACCTGCCTCGCCGTGACAGAGCAGGATGATGAAGGGACGCCGACGCCATCTTGGACCTGTCTCGTCGTGACAGAGCAGGATGATGAAGGGACGCCGACGCCATCTTGGACCTGTCTCGTCGTGACAGAGCAGGATGATGAAGGGACGCCGACGCCATCTTGGACCTGCCTCGCCGTGACAGAGCAGGATGATGAAGGGACGCCGACGCCATCTTGGACCTGCCTCGCCGTGACAGAGCAGGATGATGGTCTATGGTTTCCCCAGAGCTTCAGCCTCATCTGCTGTCAGATCCGGAAGGAGACCCAGGTGGGCCATGACTACCTGACAACCAGCTAACTTGATTTAAAATCTGTATGATGTGAATATATATAGCTAGAATTAAGTTAGGAATAAATAGTCACACCAGTTGGCTTCAGTTCTGGTGTGTAGTACATCTCCTGACTTCCTAATAGTTTTCAACTGAAAGCAACTTTTCACAGAACTCCATAGCAGTAGTCTTGCTGTTTTCAGATTAGCTCATGCAGTGGCTTTAGTTTTCCCACCATAGTTAAGTGTTGATCCAATAGAAGCCTTTTGAAACCTCATAAATCTGAGCAAAAACCATCAGAAGCTGCTCAGCAGGAACTGGTTGACTTTGGGGTTAAAAAGCATCAAACGCACCACTGCCTATCAACTCATTAAACTTCCTCCATTTCCTGTCATTCAGCACAGCTCATCATAAAACCCAACTCACTTCCTTTCTGTGGCAAGCAGAAAACAGAGATACTGTACCAGGAAGTGCCTGATCAGCAAACGCAGGAATCTAACCCTCTGTTGGCTTTCTGCTGTTTGCACTGAGGTCAGTCAACTGATGGGAAGCAACTTCTGTTCAGGCCTTTGTTTCCAGGAGGACCTGAGGAACTCTGCTAGGGAGAAATGGGTCGTTTCCTTCTGTAGGAACAAACACTGCAACATGACGAAGCATTTTTAAAGAACAAAGTGGGTCAGTGGACTCCAGAACCTGTGCCACTACAGCAGATGGTTGCTGTTCCATCACTAAAGCTGCTTCATCTTTGTCCTCTTTTGCCACACTGCAAAAACACAAAATCTTTCCAAGTATTTTGGTCTATGTTTTAATGCAAATATCTTAAAATAAGACAAAAGTAACTTATAAGTAACTTTTCAGTGAGATTTAGGAGCTTATTGTAAGGCAGTACTTTCTTAATATTGATGTAAAAGTACAAAGTCAACTGGCAAATTAATTTACTTATAAAAAATGTCTGTTTGCGAGTGCGCTAGTAGTCTATAAAGTACTGCATACAAACAACCATTTATTTCTTGATATGAGCTTAAAGTGCAATGTGTACAGTTAGCTTATCAAAGGATTGTGTTCAGAGTAATAATGGATAAGTGGCTTAAGACCGGGTCAATCAAAAGAAAGCTGAAGATACTGGTGGAAAGAAAACAATATCAGGGCTACTTATCAGAGGAATTCATGTCTGCATAAATATATTTCAGTTTCTAGGCGTGAGTTGGGAAAGTTTTGCTTTTAGGATACTATTAGATACACACTATGCCACCGACACACAGTGCTGCAGCTGATGAGGCGATCAGCAGCGCTGCGCCCTGCGCTGACTAACTGCATCTTAACACCTAAAATAAAATAACTATTAATATCTGACTGGAAGAAAATTTTTATTTCTGCCAAAGTAACTCAAGCCTGTTTTTTTTTTTTTTATTGTGCTTCTACACTAAAAGTAGCCCTAAAATTGTATTAATTCACAAATTTATAACATAAAAATTTTTTATTAAAGGCCTCTGGAACCAAAAAATCCTTAAAAAAAAGAAATCCACACTTTCAGACCCTGTAAATAATTCAAATGAGGAGACATGTTCATGGTTTTGTTGTGACCAGTCACATTTCCAAAACAGCACCATCCTTGTTAGGATGAACAAAGAAAACAAGAATAAGTCAGTTTTATTTTAGGTTGTTCATATTTACATATGTTTGTTTTTCTATTTCAAATTTGTTTGTCAGTTTCAAAATAATTTCAGTTTCAATTGTTTTTTTTTTTCTTTTAAAAAAAAACTTTATGTCCCAATTTGGCTCCATATTTTAGTTGTAATAACAATTTTGCTAGCTAATGCTAATTGATTTGCTAATAACAGTAAACTAACAAACATTTTTCAGACTTAGCATTGTGTCCTCACGTTGAAAATGTCACTTCCGATTGCCCTGCAAGTTTGGTTTGAAAATGAAACAATGGGTGCATTATTACACAATGCCTGAAACCCACTACCATATGTGATCAGTCTTACATTCGTGTGTCCTGTTCTTCTTTCATTGCCTATGTTTTATTTAATCTGATTAATGTAATCATTTATTTGAATAAATCTGGTGAAATCATTTGTTCCTTATGTAACCTGTCTGCAAAACCACTGAACATGCAATAGAAGAAACTCCAAGTTTCAAGAAGTAAGTGAAAAATAAAAGTAAGTGTAATTTACGTAGGTTTCAGAGTTAAATCATAGCCGTCTTTAAAAGCGCAAGAAAGTGCATAAATAAACTGAACTGACTGAAGCTTGCAGACACTGTGCTTTATGTAGGATTTTTAAAGCTGGTAAAACATTTTGACTCACATGTTTGGAAACTGTCCTGAATCTTGTGACTGGATGTTCAGTGCTTACACTGTGCAGATGTGTGTGAAACATCTGGCTGGATCAAAATTGCTGCAGAGGACTCCATAAGCATTTAAGGCACAGCTCGCTTATCGGCTGCTTCCTGCCATTGTTCAGCAGGTTTGCATTTTGACCTTTAACCCTGAGTTTGGTCGCTCTCACTGCGCCTGCTGATCAAGTCCATCTTGGTTAAAACAGGAAGTCAGCTTTCACATTTTGTTCTCTTTTTTCCACACTGAAGCAGACGGCTGATGAGGAAATCCGTCTCGGTGGTCCAACCGCAGCAGCCCTGCAGAGACACCTCTGAAGACTTCCTGTCTAGTAGATGCACAGTTCCTTAAAACTTCTTAGAGGGAGTTTAAAGTTTACATCCAATCATTATAGTCTTGAATATTACATTATATCAGATTTTCTGATGATGCATTTAAGCTAAAAAAATAAAATCAACACACAGGGTTAACATGCATCCACCTCAATTCAAAGTCAAAGTTTTAATTCATTGTCAGTTAACCAAGTAACACTTTATTTGAAGGTTGTGCAAAAGACTGACACACAGAGAAGGGCAGAATATCCAAAAAGTATCAAAGTTATCAGTTAATATTTAAAAATAACATAATCAGACCATAAGTGGACATTTTGGCATTTTAAGGACCACAATGACAATAATTCATATAACTTTAAAAAATCCAGAAATTTTACTCAAGACTAGAAATACGTTGTAATAAAATTACTCAAGTAAAAATAAAAAGCACAGTTTACTAAAAATACGCACTTTTTTTCAAAACACTTACTCAAGTAAATATAATTGCGTAAATGTAGCTAGTTAACAACTCTGTTTTGCCTCAGTGTTTGAATTTGACCAAGTTTTAACCATCTGACTCAAACTGTTCCCCTCAGATAAACAGCAAACCCTGAAATCCTGGTAAGCTTCTTGGACCTGCAGAGACACCGTCCGCAGTGAATTCACATCATCTGGCCTTCAGTTGACGCCGAGGATAAACGACGACCCTGTTCCAAAATCAGGAACTTCGCTGGTAAGTGGACTGTATGCATGTGGAGCTTCATCAACGACTGAAGCGCACGGAGAGGGAATCGAAAAGATTCAATAACAAGAAGAATGTTTGCAGGAGTCGGAGGGAGACTTCAAACCCTCGCTTGGTCAAACATGCAAAGAAAAACATTCTTTGTAGAAATCATTAACAAAAACATCAACAACGCTTGGGCCTCATTAGCCACAGTTGGTTGACCAATTCAGTACTAATGCTGTGCCCAAACCTAAGATAATGGCTGAGAAAATAGCAACATTTCAACAATTCAACCATAAAATATTCTAAATCAGTTGCGCTCATCCTCTTGCCGTTTTTATGTCCAACCCACAGATCTCCTTAAAAAAGTCCTGCATCTGATCCGATCCGGACAGTGAACTCATCGCTCTTATCAGGTGTTTTCCATCAGGCTTTAAAAGCAGCTTTTATCAAACCTCTGATAAAAAAGAACAATCTGGACAAATCGCTACTGCAGAATTACAGGCTGATCTCCAACCTCCCATTCATCAGCAAAATTACTGAAAAAAACACTTTCAACACCATA